ACAGAAGTGACACGAGAACTAGAGATAGCGTGGAGATCACAGAAGATAGGATCTAAACAAGACAAAGAGTTAACAGCTGCTCAGTTCAATAAATCAGGTTAAGTGAATTCTATGTAAATCAGTTCAGCTTTTAGAATGGTCCCAACAGCTGTACAAAGACCCAATTAGAAAAGGAAACCATGTAAAATATCATTCAAAGTTGTAACGAACTAATTAAATAACACATAGTGAGGAAAGGGGGGGCATCAACCTTATAAATACCTATTATATTGACGCCCCTCCCCCCCCCCCCCCCCCCTCCACAAGACTAAACTATTTGCTGTGCGGACTTACTATATTAAGACGCAATGAAACTACCGGACCACGATGTATGGGGACTTGCCACCCCATGGCAACATTAAAATATATCGACTCAGTTACATCGTTTCCTCAAATTATTTGTTATATAGTAGTGTTGAAAACTATATGTGAGCTCAAGACTAAAGCTTTGTTGGTTTAACGTCGGACGCTGTACACGTTCCTGGTGAGTTAAGATTATAATTAGGAGGAATATATTATATAAGATTAATTTTAAGAGCGGCTGTTTATGTGGTACATGCATGATATTCTGTATATTATTATTATAAAGAACGGCAAATGAGCGGTAGGGTATAAAACTATAAGAGCGGTAGGGTATAAGACTATAAGAGCGGTAGGGTATAAGACTATAAGAGCGGTAGGGTATAAGACTATAAGAGCGGTAGGGTATAAGACTATAAGAGCGGTAGGGTATAAGACTATAAGAGCGGTAGGGTATAAGACTATAAGGGCGGTAGGGTATAAGACTATAAGAGCGGTAGGGTATAAGACTATAAGAGCGGTAGGGTATAAGACTATAAGAGCGGGAGGGTATAAGACTATAAGAGCGGTAGGGTATAAGACTATAAGGGCGGTAGGGTATAAGACTATAAGAGCGGTAGGGTATAAGACTATAAGAGCGGTAGGGTATAAGACTATAAGAGCGGGAGGGTATAAGACTATAAGAGCGGTAGGGTATAAGACTATAAGAGCGGTAGGGTATAAGACTATAAGAGCGGTAGGGTATAAGACTATAAGAGCGGTAGGGTATAAGACTATAAGAGCGGTAGGGTATAAGACTATAAGAGCGGTAGGGTATAAGACTATAAGGGCGGTAGGGTATAAGACTATAAGAGCGGTAGGGTATAAGACTATAAGAGCGGTAGGGTATAAGACTATAAGAGCGGTAGGGTATAAGACTATAAGGGCGGTAGGGTATAAGACTATAAGAGCGGTAGGGTATAAGACTATAAGAGCAGTAAGAAAGTGGATGAGGACCCAAACGTAGGGTTCCAGCTACTGTGTATAGAATTGTATCTAACTTTAAAGACCTCGCCAAGACCGAGACTAATGTTAGAATTGTATCTAACTTTAAAGACCGAGACGAATGTTCTGAAGTTACTGATCCAGGTGTCACACAGTAGCCCCTGTCTTTTTTATTGTGGCCATTATATATAAGGTAAATAACCTCACTTTGTTGACACCAATTCCGCTTCTCAGCTGGTGCGTGGTTATTAGGCTGCAGTTGTGTAGTTTACCTTACCACAGTTAGGACACTACCACAGTTAGGACACTACTCCTGATCCGCCTGACTTTAAAGAACTATCCTTCAGAAGTCTTGATTTCTTCAAAGCTGACTATGATTCAATCAGTAATAAAATCAAGTCAGTGGATTGGGACGCTCTCTGGGAAGCTAGCGAGCCAGAGGTTTTTCCGGAGCTCTTTACTCAGACTGTCCATCAAATCTGTGTAATATATTGCCCAAAGAAAATTCCTCCCAAAAACAAGCAAGCATCACTTGTCCGGATTCCTTCTAGAAAGAAGCGCAAGCTTCAAAAAGAACTTCGTGATGCTGAGAACGACGTTCACTGCCCTAGTACTCGTTTGAAATCTCTTCAAAACAAGCTTGCTTTGGCCCACATAGGAATTCGTGATGCTATTAACAAGACCCTTCAGTATCGCGAAGAGCAGGCTGCAGCAAAAGTAAAAGCAAACCCGAAGTACTTTTATAGTTATGCCAAGAAGTTTTCGAAAAAGAAAAGGAATATCAGCATGCTATTCGATGAGAACAGTAACATCCGTTCTCATCCTAAGGAAATGGCAGACCTTTTACAAAACCAGTTTCTATCCGTATTTAGCGACCCCTCCAAAACTGAGTTAGACGCTGCATCATTCCCTCCTCCGGATTTAACATATCCGTTCACGGATCAGATTCTGGAATTCTCTATCAGTGATGTTATCGAGGCTATTGATGATATTAAGCCAAATGCTTCATCTGGTCCTGATGAGATCCCAGTTGCTCTACTTAAGAATTGCAAAGATGCTATGGCGATTCCTATCCATCTGATCTGGTCAAAATCCCTTGCATCTGGAGAAGTACCTTCATTTTATAAGTACTCCAACGTTTCTCCGCTCCACAAGAAAGATAGCAAGGCGTTTCCTTCCAACTACAGGCCCATTTCACTCACCTCCCATATAATCAAGGTGTTTGAGAGAATCATAAGGAAAAAGCTAGTCTTACATCTAGAAATGAACAACTTGCTCTGTAGCAAACAGCATGGCTTTAGATCAGGCCGCAGCTGCCTTACACAGCTTCTCCACCATTTCGACGACGTTTTTGAGTCATTAACCAACAAAGCTGACTTTGATTCTATATATCTTGATTACGCTAAGGCGTTCGATAAAGTTGATCACAAACTGTTGATCAGGAAACTTCACCTCTATGGCTTAAATCCAAAAATCATCAAATGGATTGAATCTTTTCTGTCAGATCGGAAGCAAGCTGTAGTGGTCGACGGCCACTTGTCATTTCTCGCTCTGATCATCAGTGGTGTCCCCCAGGGAACAGTCCTCGGGCCGATCTTGTTCCTTATTTTCATTAATGATATTGAGCATTGCATAACTGAATCCATCATCAGATGCTTTGCAGACGACACTCGTGTTTCAATATCGGTAACCTGTGAACAAGACGTATCTGTGTTACAAAACGACTTGAACAGTGTCATAAAATGGTCTGAACGAAACAATATGGCACTACATAAAGACAAGTTTGAGTACATGTGTCACAGACACAATCGACGTAGTGCTCTCGTCGAACTTCCTTTTGTTAGTGAACTATACCAGTACTCAGTATCCAAAGACAAGTCACTCGCACCTGTAGGTCAACTAAGAGACCTCGGGGTTCTCGTCTCCAACGATCTATCTTGGCAACCCCACATCAAGACCGCAGCAAACAAGGCTCGACAAAAAGCTGCCTGGGTTTTCAGTGTCTTTCAGACAAGATCTCCAGTCATAATGCTTACGCTTTACAAGTCGATGGTTCGTAGTTTACTGGAATACTGTTGCCCGCTATGGCACCCCTCCAAGATATGTGACATCCAGGAGCTTGAAAGCGTACAGAAAGCTTTCACCGCAAGGATTACTGGAATGCGTGATCTCCATTATTGGGACCGTCTTCAACGGCTATCTCTGATGTCTCTACAGCGTCGCAGGGAGCGGTTCATTTTACTTCATATGTGGAAGATTCTCCATCACCATACCAGCAACGACATTAACGTGCAGTTTGTCTCCAGGCCACGTTTTGGAAACCTTGCAGTCATTCCATCTGCATGCAGACACAGCTCAGCAGCAAATCAGTCACTGTATGATAATTCATTTGCAGTCATAGGCCCAAAATTGTGGAATGCAATGCCTTAGCATTTGAATTGCATCGGCGACCGAGAGCATTTCAAATCGCAGCTCACTCAGTTCATGCTATCTCTTCCGGATACACCGCCCATCAGGGGCTACACTCCTCAGAACTCAAACTCGCTGCTTTGCTGGAGGAATGACAGAGAGATCTCCTCTCTGTGGGGTGGTCACACAATGTGATGGCCCTGTTAAAGCTTAACGAATCTCAACATAGGTGACATAGGTAGGTGACACTATACCCGACTCTATACAATGGTTTGATCTGACTAAGCAGTGAGCTTATCTTCTAGTTCGGCTCGGGAAGATTATGTCTTCCAGTCGTCACTAAAACCATTATTGAAACAATAGTTGAATATATGATAACAATAGTTGAATATATGATAATAACAAATGATAATATATCATAAGTATTATTTTTGAGAGCACTCACTTTCGAAAAAATAAATATTTTCTTTTTCGAAAGTTTCGAAATTTTTGAGAAGTCTGGCACTGTTATACCGATATTTCGGTCATTTTAAAAGTCTTTTGGCTGATTTCTTTACTGAACATTACTTACAATCCGTACAAGAAACCCCTGAAAGGATTATATAATTGAACAATAAATGACGAAGTTACAGACCAAACTTTTATTTCACTTCAATAAAAAAACGCGCAACAAGTTGCTCTTGTTTTCATGTAAATCTTGTAAATCTTGTAAATCTTGTAAATCTTGTAAATCTTGTAAATCTTGTAAATCTTGTAAATCTTGTAAATCTTGTAAATCTTGTAAAATTCTTGTAAATCTTGTAAATCTTGTAAATCTTGTAATTCTTGTAAATCTTGTAAATCTTGTAAATCTTGTAAAATTCTTGTAAATCTTGTAAATCTTGTAAATTCTGCACCATTAGAACAAAGCTTTCAACTAAGATATGGATACAGTTGTGGAAAGGGTATGTTAACCATATTTGGCACCTCGTCAGTATCCAGATATCTGTCACCTCGTGATATATACAATAGCGTACAGCCAACATTGTTATTGTTTCACAATGACCCACTCTAATCTGGTAAGATCGAGACGTAAGAGTATCATGAACAATGAACATGACGTAATAATAAGGTTACATCCAATATAGCTTCCGGAAAATGATATCACACTAATTACAAGGGTGCTGCCGGTAACATTACGTAATACGCTTGCTACCAGCACTTGTGCCTAACTTTTTCCCAAAATTGCTACTAAAAAATGCAATGTTAACAGTGTAACTCCTCCCCAGGGTAGCGCAAGCAGAGAGGGAGTGTGAGAAGTACAGAGCAATGTTACAGGAGTCTGAATTGGAGGGTGACTCAAGGAGAGAGGAGATGTGCAAATTACTGAATGAGAAAAACGAGCTTCTTTCCGAGGTATCTCTACTTGTTCAGCTAATTAATCTTGTCCTTAACGTCATGTTAATCTTTTAGACTAATCTCCTATCTGCTATTACCTACCAGATATACAAGTATTTCTGATCACTCACATAAGCCACACAGGTAGGTCACATAGGTAGGTCACATAGGTAGGTCACATAGGTAGGTCACATAGGTAGGTCACATAGGTAGGTCACATAGGTAGGTCACACAGGTAGGTCACACAGGTAGGTCACATAGGTAGGTCACATAGGTAGGTCACATATGTAGGTCACATAGGTAGGTCACATAGGTAGGTCACAAAGATAGGTCACATATGTAGGTCACATAGGTAGGCCACACAGGTAGGTCACATAGGTAGGTCACATAGGTAGGTCACATAGGTAGGTCACATATGTAGGTCACATAGGTAGGTCACATATGTAGGTCACATAGGTAGGTCACATAGGTAGGTCACATAGGTAGGTCACATAGGTAGGTCACATATGTAGGTCACATAGGTAGGTCACATAGGTAGGTCACAAAGATAGGTCACATATGTAGGTCACATAGGTAGGCCACACAGGTAGGTCACATAGGTAGGTCACATAGGTAGGTCACATAGGTAGGTCACATATGTAGGTCACATAGGTAGGTCACATAGGTAGGTCACAAAGATAGGTCACATAGGGAGGTCACATAAGTAGGTCATAAAGGTAAGTCACAAAGGTAGGTCACATAGGTAGGTCATAAAGGTAGGTCACAAAGGTAGGTCACATAGGTAGGTCTCACCAAACTGGTTGTACATCTTAGTGCACTTGATTTGGTAATTCTAGTTTTACATTCCAGGTTGAGATATTGAGAGTTGAGTTAACTGAAAGTACAAAGTATCAAGAGAAGTACGCAATAACCTGCGATCAACTGAACGTGCTCAAGGATAAATACACTGTAGCTGCATCCCTTAATAGGTGGGTGTTATGGTAATAGTGGCGTCACCATGGTAACATGTGGGTGTTATGGTAATAGTTGGGTCACCATGGTAACAGGTGGGTGACACCTTGTGTTATGGTAATAGTTCTGTCACCATGGTAACATGTGGGTGTTATGGTAATAGTTGGTTCACCATGGTAACATGTGGGTGTTATGGTAATAGTTGGGTCACCATGGTAACAGGTGGGTGTTATGGTAATAGTTGGTTCACCATGGTAACATGTGGGTGTTATGGTAATAGTTGGGTCACCATGATAACATGTGGGTGTTATGGTAATAGTTGGGTCACCATGGTAACAGGTGGGTGTTATGGTAATAGTTGGGTCACCATGATAACATGTGGGTGTTATGGTAATAGTTGGGTCACCATGGTAACATGTGGGTGACACCTTGTGTTATGGTAATAGTTGGGTCACCATGGTAACAGGTGGGTGTTATGGTAATAGTTGGGTCACCATGGTAACATGTGGGTGACACCTTGTGTTATGGTAATAGTTGGGTCACCATGGTAACATGTGGGTGACACCTTGTATTATGGTAATAGTTCTGTCACCATGGTAACATGTGGGTGTTATGGTAATAGTTGGGTCACCATGGTAACATGTGGGTGTTATGGTAATAGTTGGGTCACCATGGTAACATGTGGGTGTTATGGTAATAGTTGGGTCACCATGATAACATGTGGGTGTTATGGTAATAGTTGGGTCACCATGGTAACAGGTGGGTGTTATGGTAATAGTTGGGTCACCATGGTAACATGTGGGTGACACCTTGTGTTATGGTAATATTTGGGTCATCATTGTAACAGGTGGGTGGCACCTTGTGTTATGGTAATAGTTGGGTCACCATGATAACATGTGGGTGTTATGGTAATAGTTGGGTCACCATGGTAACAGGTGGGTGTTATGGTAATAGTTGGGTCACCATGGTAACATGTGGGTGACACCTTGTGTTATGGTAATAGTTGGGTCACCATGGTAACAGGTGGTGACACCTTGTTATATGGTAATACAGCAAAACCCAATTTACCGCGGATGTTTCCTTTACCCAAACTCCGCGGTAAATCGGGGTTTTGCTGTAGTTGGGTCAGTTATCTTGGATCAGAGCCATTAGAATCAACCGATGAAATTTGAATTTAAACGTTTTGAATTCGATTACATATAATTTGCGTGCCCAGCGGGGATGAATATACTTATTACAGTAATTATATGTATTTTTGAGTAAACATTGACTGGTACTACGGGTCAGTCCCCAATCAAACAATCATTAATTACTGTTTTCAGTGACTTGACAGATAAACTAGAAGGGTTGAAAGAAGAAGTGGATATATTACGCGTACACAACGAAACTCTGAAGAGCCAACATGAAAGGTAATAAAACACATTGTTCTTGGGAAATTTAAAATCATTTAATTGTCATATTTTTAAATGATGCTGATAAATTGTAGGAATATTACAGTCAATTGAATTGTGAGTAAAAGTCTTTGCTAAAACTAAGACTCCAGTGATGTGACACAAGTGCAAGTTTTACAAAAAGAGAAACAGAAAGTGGTAACGAAGCTGGAGGAGAAGGATAACCTATACTTAAGTGAGTTACTTACTTTATGTTATAGTTTATTTTAAGAGAAATTATTAATCGTTCCAATCACATGATCTTAATTATATTTTATTTTAATTTTATTCTTGCTACATTTCCTATACAATTCCGCTGACGCTGCGTTGTTTGGTAACCATGGTGATGATGCTAATTAATATCCACAGCTTTCTACATGCTTCACATTTAATCAGCTCGTTTCATTATTCCAACGCACTTCAAGAATCAAAATAACAGATCGTTCATTGCACCTATGGATACAGTATTTTAACTGATTTGTTTAAAGGAAGTCCTTGTTCGAGTCTGTGTTTTTGTTCCATTTCACATTTGCTTTGTCTCATTAATGAATCTTTGATGGTTTGTTCAAGATCCTGGGACTGAAAATAAAGAGATTAGTAATTAACTTGAACACTGGGGGGAGGGGTGACCTGAACACTGTCTCAAAAGACAAGGATTGTGAGAGGAAGCCACGTAGCCAGGATTTACTGCCAGGCCCTGTTGAGGGAGGAGGAGGGGGGGGGGGCTTTTGGGAAATATTCTCGGGGCAGGCTAGGCTATCATTAGGGAATGCTTTGCCTGTTCTGCCTCATTGCTGACTATGCGGCAGAAGACAAGACTGGTTTTACCAGAATAGAGAAAAATACTGTGTAAATACAACAAGAATTTCTTGTATCTTGTACCATTAATTCTTTCGAGTGAAAAGTGTGACAGGAAAAAGTGCAACATATTTACATTATACTATGTTTTTAATAAATGAGTGGGATTCGCGCATGGTAAAAATTGACGATTTAATTTGACCAATGTAGCGCCGCGCACATCAACAATAAATGAATGCAGAAAATTGCGGAAAATAACTTTGCGAAGGAGGAACTTAACTGTAATTAATTAACACATGGCTAGCGTCGCGCGCAGCATAACAGACGCTTCCAATACACATAATTATAGTGGAATGGTCTATATTGCGAAGGAGCAGACTTTTGTCGTCACCGTAGGACCGTCGGGCCACCTCATATATCCAAACCCGATTACTTATTCCCTACGATCTTTTTGCCTTCGGCAAGAGTAGGGAAAAAATTGATGAATTTAGAGTTACATATTATGACAGGACAGATGGGCGTGACTGGAAAATAATCACACAGAATTAAGAGGATAATTGGATAAAAATTGAATCAAGTAATCAAGCTTTCAGAGTTATTTCAGAAAGTAGGAATTATGATAGACATGGGGTATAATTTACAAGACCGGAAACTGATTCGGCCCTCAAAGAGGGGTCAGATCACGTCACCAATCAGTGACGTACAATTAGCCTCTATATCTGGGTTCCACTCGCTGACCCGCTATCATAACTGCACCTTTTAGGAATATCTCTCCCCGAGAATTGTAATTTTTAGAAAATTTAAGCATTTTAAGGCAATTGAGACATTATGTTTTCTCAGGGCAAGCAAGGCTATCGTTAAGGGAAGCTTCGTCTGCCCTTCCTCATTGCTGGCTACGTAGCTGGGGTGGGGGTGGAGGGGGAGGGGGACTAGAATACTGTCTCAGAGTTAAGATGGGGGATGGGGAGAAGGGATGTACAATTTTATTCCCCAATGTGCAGCTGTTCGTTATAATTACTTTATATAATTAACTGTATCTAATTTAAAAGTAAAGATAGCTTAGCGGAAAAAATCATGATAATTGATCACAGCTTACTACTACTACTACTACAATTGTTAACACGTGGCTGTGTAGCAGGCAGCTTAGTGCTAAGCACACTCACCTCCACTCTACTTCATTACCATCTCCCATATATCCTCTCTAGATTTTATATCAGTTAAAGGCCTTTAATCAGACCTCAATTGACGTACAATGGCTCGATTCGTTCGGTTGACAAGAACTACTAACCAAAAATGCGGCCGCTTTTCTTTTGTGGATGGTCGCTCAATTTAAAAATGTAAACAAACATCTTGGGTTAACTGTAACAGCCCCAGCGTGTGGACTGTGGGCCTACCATTACCTGCGTTTGCATATGATGAGGTACTTTAGTTCCGTGAGTAGATGTGTGTTGAAGTACGCGTAGATCATAGGATTTATTGCAGGGCTGTAAAAGTTGTAGATATTACTAAAACCTAATTAGGTTCCGGGCGAGTCTGTGGTTTTGAAGTATCATAACACAAAGTACCTACTCTAGTCAAGGAATAACACAACCACTAACCTGATATGATAAGACCACATGATCCACTTGTAGGCACCAGACTGGTCCAGTGCAGCAATAACAGGACTGTAACTCCCGAACAGATAGGAAATGAGGTTGTAGAGCGAGGCAGGGAGTGAGGTTACGATACAAGACAGACACACTGCAACCATCATCTCAGCTGATCTGAGGCAGGGAGGGAGGTTACGATGGTACCGCGACAATTGACCCCCCGACAATTGACCCCCCGACAATTGACCCCCATGTAATTACACTGGGACCTCAATTGATCAGGTCAGGGTCAGGGTCCTGGGTCAGGGTCCTGGGTCAGGGTCAGGGTTAGGGTCCTGGGTCAGCGTTAGTGTTAGGGTTAGGGTTAGGGTCCTGGGTCAGGGTCAGGGTCAGGGTCAGGGTCAGGGTCAGGGTCAGGGTCAGGGTCAGGGTCAGGGTCAGGGTCAGGGTCAGGGTCAGGGTCAGGGTCAGGGTCAGGGTCAGGGTCAGGGTCAGGGACCTGGGTCAGGGTCAGGGTTAGGGTCCTGGGTCAGCGTTAGTGTTAGGGTTTAGGTTAGGGTGAGGGTTAGGGTCCTGGGTCAGGGTCAATGTTAGGGTCCTGGTCAGGGTTAGGGTTATGGTTAGGGTCCTGGGTCAGGGTCAGGGTCAGGGACCTGGTTCAGGGTCAGGGTCAGGGTTATTGTTAGGGTTATGGTTAGGGTCCTGGGTCAGGGTCAGGGACCTGGTTCAGGGTCACGGTCACGGTCACGGTCACGGTCACGCTCAATTGTCGGGGGTCAATTGTCAACCACCCGTTATGATACAAGACAGACACACTGCAAGGGAGGGTTGTTAGTGGGATTTAGCCCTAGATCAGGATATTTAACGAATTTAAGTGTCATTTTGACTGAATATCATTAATTTATTGAGCTTTCACTAATTGCGCTCGTGGATTGACACTATCGACTAAGTTTGTTAGTTTTGCTATATTCCCTTGCTGTAATCTGGTGCTGAGTAATGTAACTATGGCAACACTACCATATAAGGTATTACGTTACTAACCTGGTACTAGCTCTGTGAAGATAGCTCTCATTTCTCTGTTGCTGCGGAGTTCTGGGTAGTTGCGGAGTGGAGGGGCCCGGAGATTTAACTACCTTACTGCTCCTGTACTTCCTGATCAAGGTCCAAACGATTGCGGAGTAAGCTAGAACTAGGGTCAGCTGTAGGGCGACTAACAGGAAGGTATCCAGGGGGAACGCTGTGCTTAGCAACCAGCCAACTGAAGTTGGTATTATCAGGGGCACTTCTACACAGTATACACATTAAGTTTAATTATTTATTACTAACCTGGATAAGGCCCGACAATAGTTACACATGACCTTATATGGTATTGTAACTATGGTAACACTACCATATAAGGTAGCACTGACCTGGATGAGGCCCGAGAATGGTGAGACACATGAGGAGGTTCTTGTCGTAGCAGGCTACAATAGTCCTGGTTCCCTTTAGTGAGCCGCAGAGGAAGGCTATGTACACGGACGGTAAAATAAACCTGGTCATTGACGGGTAATGTAGTTGTGAGTAATTAGTTAACCTCGTTAAATCTGGTTATTGAGGGTTATCTACCGCAAAGGCATTACTTTTATAAAGGAATTTAATATTTATGGAGTACTGTATGTGATTTATGAAACAAAAGTGCGCTGTCCGATAGCAGTTAGGTAAGCTGTCATGTGGCAACCACTAGAGTAACACAGGCCCCTTCCAGCCATTGCCACTGCGAATTTAACCTAAAACCTGCCCAGTTAATAGCGGAAGACTGCGAAATTACCACTCCTGCCTAGTAATCTAATTTACCCCTGTCCAGATCAGCAGTATATTACACTAAATCCGCAGGTTTTCTCTTAATTTTTTATGTCAAAACCTGCCTAATTAACTAGTGATCCTGCATCAACAGCGCAGGTATTTGTTATTTGGCAGGTTTTCTATTAACTTGGCAGGATTTGCTATAAAATTATCAATCCTTTCCGGATGGATTACGGCAGTGGATAAAGTTAAATCGGCAGGTTTTCCATTAACTTGCAGGATTTTTTATAAAATTATCAATCCTTGCCGGATAGATTACGGCAGTGATAAAGTTAAATCGGCAGGTTTTCCATTAACTTTGGCAGGATTTGTTATAAAATTATCAATCCATGCCAAATAGATTATTATAATGGCTATATCTTATTATGGCATCGTTAAATTTATAAATTGGCAGGTTTTCTTTTATCTTTCTTTTAAGTTCTTAAAGTTATTTGGAATTTTGCTTATTTGGCACCAAAACTAAAAAGTCAATAAAACCGAGTTGATTAGCGCAGTCAAGAAATTGGCCGGAGTTGATAAAAAGCTGACAACCATGGCACTGAATCTCCAAATGAGAGGGTATAGTACGCTATATACTTATATAGTACGGTACCGCAACTATTGACCCCCCTCCCCCCCCCCCCCCCCCTCCGACAAATGACCCCCCTGATGCAATCTACCCCCGACAATTGACCCCCCCATGTAATTTACACTGGGGTCAATTCAGGGTTAGGGTAAGGGTTAGGGTAAGGGTTAGGGTTAGGGTCAGGGTTAGGGTCAGGGTTAGGGTCAGGGTTAGGGTCAGGGGTAGGGTCAGGGTTAGGGTCAGGGTTAGGGTCAGGGTTAGGGTCAGGGTTAGGGTCAGGGTTAGGGGTTAGGGTCAGGGTTAGGGTCAGGGTCAGGGTCAGGGTTAGGGTTAGGGTTAGGGTTAGGGTTAGGGTTAGGGTTAGGGTTAGGGTTAGGGTCAGGGGTCAGGGTTAGGGGTCAGGGTTAGGGTTACTGGGTAACACGACTCCTGTCAGCGACATCTGTCCGACAGCGACATCTGTCCGACTCAGGGTACCAGAAAAAACGACATTTGTCCGAAATTGTGATCTGATTTCAATACAACACATTTCCAATTAGAGACGTGATCTGAACTGTTAATTTGCATACGTAACATTGCCAATTTGAGATATGATCTGAGCCATAGTGTACTACTAGTTTATTTTCGACCTAGGCAGGCAGGCATGAAGCAACTGCGTTGTGAATGGCGAGCTCGTAGTCCATGAGAATGTATTGTGGTTGGTAGCCCCAAGGGCCTCAGAAGCCCAGGTGTCTATCTCCTCGAACTGTTGCGGTAGAGGGTCGTCGATTTTCCAGGAATGAGTCCTTAGAAGAGGGGAGGTGCCAGCCGTCAGGGAAGAGTCCGTGGACTGTGAAGAGCTGATGGAAGAGATTAGGTGCGGATTTGAAGGTACCGTTGGGCGTTGACAGGGAAATTGCTCCGGGGCCCCCAAAAATTAAGGATTTTGGGGTTCTTAGGAGCCCCCAAAAAAAGGGGGAATGAACAAACGGTCTGTTGGGTTCCCAAACCGAGTCCCAGAGCATCTTTGGGACGGGTTTTTCGGGGAGAGAGGATTTTTATTTTGGGGCAGGAAGGTAGCTTTTCCCCAGATCCCCCTGGGTCTGTTTGCTCCCAGATCGGGGTTCTGTTTACTGAAATTTGGGTTGCCTTTGGGGATTGGGGTTTAATGATCCCCAAAACGGTTTTGGCTATACCAAATATGTCCCTTCAGGTAGGTTTTGTCCGGGGGGTTTTGTGGACGACAGCTTGTTTAGTGTAGGGGCTAGCACAACCCGGTCCTTAAATTTTTGTCAACACGTATCGTGGATCAATTAAGGGATAAAATTTTCAGCTTTTCGAAAAAGGGGGGAAGAAAAACGCCCAACAAAAATTCCCCCGGGAGTTTGTGAAATACAAATTTGGAAACCCAAAAAAATTAAAAAGATCTAAAATTTTCGGACAGAGGGCCCCAAAAAACGACCCCCTGTCCGCCCAGCAAAATTTTGTCCAAAACCCCCCAAATTGGGCTGTGGGGAACAGAGGGTCGCGCCCCGGGGAACGATTCCCCCCCAATCGGGTTACGGGTTGGGGGTTAGTAAAAATAAATTTATTTTTTTTTGGGAAAATTGTGGGGGGGGGGGGGGGGGGGGGGGGGGGGGGGGGTCCAAATTTTAAAAGAAATTAATCACTTGCACCGTTTAGGTTTCCACGTGGTTTTTTAAAGCTTAAATACTTAACTGTCCTGTCAGATAAAGAAAAATTCACTATCACCTCTTTTTTTTTAAATTAAAGGGTTTATTTAAAGAAAGCATCGTTTTCATTTTAAAAACAGTCACCCCCCAAATTTTAGCAGTTTTTACATCTATTTTTACAGTCTACACCCCTTCAATAATGGGTTTAATATTTTTGGGGCCGGTAGAGGGTCCGCAGTAAGCCCCTTTACAGAATTCCCATTCCCCTTAGAAATGCTGTTTCATTGTACAACTACAAAAAAAGGTAAAAGATATACATCCTTCACCCAAAAAAATGGTTTTTCCGCTTTTCCCCTTTAATTACAAATTTTTCCGCCCTAAAATTTTCCCAATTAAAGTGATCTTTTTAAAAATTGGGGAAAATAGAAATTTAATTTTGATTTTTATGGGGTTTAAACCTCCCCACTTAAAACCCAATGTGGGAGGTAAAACCTAAAATTTTTATGGGACGGGGCTTTTTTCCAATTCGGAATACAAATTTTCGATTAAGGTCCAACTTTTATAGTGCCCCTTTTTTTAAACGGTGGAAAAAAATTTTTCCGATCAAATTTCTCTTTTAATTTTTGAAAAAAACCCTGCTATTTAAACATTATTTAATTGGGTAATTGAAGATTTTTTTAAAATTTACTTCATTCACTAAACCCTTAAAAATGTGAACAATAACGGGTAGAGGGCACTGAAAACTAAAAAAGTGCTTTTCCCTCATTTACTTAAAACAAAAGCAATTAATTTAAAAAGGGAAAAATTAAAAACCCTGAATTAAGCAAAAAAGGAAAATTTTTCCAAATTTATGGGGGTTTTTTTATAAAATTTTTTAAAATCAAAATTAAATCTTTGCCCCCCGTTTTTGGAAACCCAGTGGAAATTTGCAGTGGCAAAACTTTCCAAAGAGGCCGCCAGCTGCAACACCCCCCCCCCCCACCCTTTTTTCCGCAATGGGCGGGGGGTTTTCCCCGGAGTGTCGGGGGGTCGTTTCGCCATTGACAGTGACTGCATTTTAAAAAAAGTAAAAAAAAATGAGCCGGATTGGTAGGCAGGTTTCATTTCGTACTTCTTTTACTTTGCAAAAAAACCAAAGGGGTCTCGTTCCTACCCCCCTTTTAACCTATTAAAAAGGGGGTTTACATCGACATTTACGGGTTTTTCCCCCAATGTAAACATCAAATTATCCAAAAAACCCCCTGCCAATATTAGGGTTTTAAAAAAACCCCACAATTTTGTTTAAAAAATTTATAAAACTTACGAAGGTTTTGGGTTTTAAAACCCGGAAAGCATTGGGATTTTTATATTTAACGGAAAACCTCCCAAAAATAAAAGGGAAAACCTTTGCCGAGAGTGGGGGGAAAGGGGGAGGCAGGGTTTTGTTTTAAATTTTTGCAGGCTTTTCTATAAACAACAACTCGATTAAAAAATTAATTGAAAAAAAATTTCTCGGGCACAAATTTTACGATAAATTGGGCCCAGGTTTTGGGTTTTTTAATTTTTTGGCAGGAAATTTTTTAAGATTCAAATTGATTTTTCACCCTTAATTTTTAAAAACCTCCCCAAATTGGGGGGGGGGCAGGTGGAAAAGGGGGGGAAAGGGGGGCCCTTTAAAACACGATGGTAGCTTTTTTGGCAGGATCTAAAGGGGACAATGCCCAATTTTGTTTTGGGGGGGGAAAGTAGTTTTTTTCAGTTTTTTTCCCTTTTTTTTACACTTTTAAAATGCACCAAATTTCAAATTTTTTGGCCCGGAAAAAGGGTTTCCTTGACTGTTGTCTTTTGCGGAACCCTTAATGCTTTTTTAAAATAGAATTTACCCCAACAATATCCCCCCTTTTTCCCCCCCAAAACTATATCCCCATTTTTCCCCCATCATTTTTTCCCCCCCCCCCAACTATACGCCCCCCCCCCCCCACTATTTTCCCCCCCCAACAATTTTCCCCCACCCCCAACTATATCTCCCCCCCCCCAAAAACAATTTTCCCCCCCACCCAACCATCCCCCCCAATTATTCCCCCCCCCAAATTTCTCCCCCCCCCCCCCCCCCCTATTTTTTCCCCCCCTCCCCCCCATCCCCCCCCCCCCCCCAAACTTTACCCCCCCTCCCCCCCCCCAAAATATTTTCCCCTTCCCCTCCCCCAACAATCTCCCCCCCCCCGGGGGCCCCCCCCAGTTGACAACCCCCAAAATTTCTTCCCCCCCCCCAATAAAGCCCCCCCCCTTAACAAATCCCCCCCCCAAACTTATTCCCCCCCCCCCCAATTTTAAAAAACCTCCCCTCCCCCCCCCCAACTATTTTTTCCTTCTCCCCCCCCCAAAATTTTTTTTAGTCCCCCCCCTTTTTCCCCCCCCCCCCCCAAAACTATTTTTCCCCCCCCCCCCCCCCCAAAAAATTCCCCCCCCCCCCCCCCCCCCCCCCCCCCCCCCCCCCCCCCCCCCCCCCCCCCCCCCCCCCCCCCCCCCCCCCCCCCCAAACCTCATTCCCCCCCCCCCCCCAACCCCCCCCCCCCCCCCCCCCCCCCCCCCCCCCCCACACCCCCCCCCCCCCCCCCCCCCCCCCCCACACCAAAACCCACCCCCACCCCCCCCCCCCCCCCCCCCCCCCCCCCCCCCCCCCCACACCCCCCCCCCCCCCCCCCCCCCAACACCACCCCCCCACCCCCCCACCACCACCCCCCCCCCCCACCCATCCACCCCCCCCCCAACCCCCCCCCCCCCCCCCCAACCCCCCCCCCCCCCCCCACCCCCCCACCCACCCCCCCCCCCCCCACCCCCCCCCACCCCCACCCCCACACCCCCCCCCCCCCCCCCCCCCCCCCCCACAACCCCCCACCCCCCCCCACCCCCCCCCCACCCCCCCCCCCCCCACCCAGCCCCCCCCCCCCCCCCCCACCCCCCCCCCCCACCCCCCCCCCCCCACCCCACCCCCCACCCCCCCCCCCCCCCCCCCCCCCCCCCCCCCCCCCCCCCCCCCCCCCCCCCACCCCCCCAAATTACCTCCCCCCCCCCAAACCCTATATCTCCCCCCCCCAAACCTCCCCCCCCCAAAAACAAAATTTTCCCCCCCCCCCCCAAACTATATCCTTCCCCCCCCCCCCCTTTCCCCCCCCCCCAAATTCTCCCCTCCCCCAACCCCCCCCATTCCCCCCCCCCCCAAACCCTATATCTTCCCCTTCCCCCCCCCCCCCCAACCCAAAATATTTTACCCCCCCCACCCCCCCCAATATATCCCCCCCCCCCTTTTCCCCCCCTTTTCCCCCCTGGGGACCTCCCCTACCTCCCCAAAGCCCAAAAGCTTTTTCCGGGAAAACCGGCTTGTTCCCATGTATTTGGGGGGTTTGGTTCCTTGGGGGTACCGGCCCAAAAGCGCTACCACACCCAAAACTTCCAGAAAAGGGGGACTTCGGGCCCACTTTTTAAAGCCACCAGCCCCCCGGGTAAGGTTTTTAGCCTTACCTTAAAAGAAATTGGGCCCCTAGGGAAAACACAACCAAATTCCCAAAAAATGTAAGGGTTTTAGACTTAACCTTATAGGGCTACCATATTTAAGTATTTTTTAAAGTATATTAAAGTAATTTTAAAGTATATTAAATAAAAATATCCCCGGCCCTAAAATGGGGAAAAAAAACCCTACTTTTTAAAATATATTTAAAAAGGGTAAAACCCCCCCCCCCCCCCCCTCCCCCCCCCCCCCCCCCCCCCCCCCCCCATAACTCGGGGCTGGTTTTTTTACCCCAAAAGAAGCCAAAAAGCTGGAAAAAGCACCGTCTTTTGGTTAAAGGTTTAAATTCATTTAAAAGTACCCTACAAAATAAGAAATCGGTCCCGGGCTATCAACCCCAGTTTTACGTGTACCTGAACAGTGTTACCATAGTTACAATAAACGGGTACCAAAACATGTTACCATAAGTTAAAAAACAGTGAAAACCTAAACCCAGTTTTTTCCAAGTTAAAATGCAGTGTACCTGAACAGTTTTTCCCTTTTGTTAAAATTTACACGTCCCTTTGACATTTTAAACCAAAATGGGGTTAAAATACAGTGTACCTGACAATGTTCCCCAAGTCCCTTTTAAGGGGGTTTTACCTAAACTTTTTTTAAACATGGGGTTTCCCAAACAGGGGGACCAGAATGTTTACCAAAATTTTCCCAATACAGTTGGGAATTTTAAACCATAGTTACAATTACAGTTGGGGCCACCTGTTACCATATTTTTTTTACAGTGTACCAACATTTTTACCGTTACAATACGGTTTACCTAAAAAGGGGTTAAAAATATTTTCAATACAGGAAACCTGAACATTTTTTCCATATTTACAAAACAGTTTTCCTAAACGGGTTTTTCCCATATTTTTACAAAAACAGGGTTCCTGAACAGGGGTTTACCATAATTTAAAATAAAGTGTCCCTAAACAGTTTTCCCCAATTTTTTACAATCCCAGTGACCTAAAACGTGTTCCCATAGTTACAAACAGTGACCGGGAACATTGGGTTCCCCTTTTAGTTAAAATACAGTGTACCTAAACCAGGGGTTTTTAAGTTACAATACAGTGTACCTGAACAGTGTTACCATAGTTACAATACAGTGTACCTGAACAGTGTTACCATAGTTACAATACAGTGTACCTGAACAGTGTTACCATAGTTACAATACAGTGTACCTGAACAGTGTTACCATAGTTACAATACAGTGTACCTGAACAGTGTTACCATAGTTACAATACAGTGTAACCTAACATGTTTACCATAGTTACAATACAGTGTACCTGAACAGTGTTACCAAAGTACAATACCAGTGTAGCCTGAAACATGTTACCATAGTTACAAATACAGTTAGGCACCTGTTACCATAGTTACAATACAGTTAGGCACCTGTTACCATAGTTACAATACAGTTAGGCACCTGTTACCATAGTTACAATACAGTTAGGCACCTGTTACCATAGTTACAATACAGTTAGGCACCTGTTACCATAGTTACAATACAGTTAGGCACCTATTACCATAGTTACAATACAGTTAGGCACATGTTACCATAGTTACAATACAGTTAGGCACCTGTTGGAGATAACGTTTCGAAGGGTCTTCTTCCTCAGTATTGCTACAACAGTGCCCACGTTCAGTAGCACTCCCGGCACGAACAGTATCTGACGAGTAGAGACGTTACAAGCAGCTCACTCAAAGGAAACATAGAGGTTACCCGGAATAACGTACGTCAGATTTACTGATCTCTACTTCAACAGCAGAGAAGAGCAAACCCCCCCCCCCCCGGCCCCCACTATTGTAACTCACCCCCCCCCCCCCCCCCCCGGCCCCCACTATTGTAACTAACCCCCCCCCCCCCCCCCGGCCCCCACTATTGTAACTCACCCCCCCCCCCCCCCCCCCCCCCACCCCCGGCCCCCACCCCACATCCAGAAACACGCCATCTTGCCAGGCAGCCTGGGAGGAAATTTTTTTTTGGGAGGAAAAACGGGAGAAAAAGAGGAAATTTTTGAGAAGTTACTCCTAAATTTCGAAATTTTTTTTTGGAATGAAGACAAATTAATTGAGGAAATTTTTGAAGAAACTTTTTCGATTGTATAAAAATCAAAGAGGAACATCCTGTCAGTTTTGGAACACAGTGAAATATTCTGATTGGAGAATGCAGATTGCTGTTGTGAAGTTATCAAATTTACGTGAGTACTTGATTCTTTTCAATCCCAGTTTATTGCTGTCCTACAAATTTCTTTAATGCCAAATGCCGTCTAAAACACCCTATTTCGCAAAAAATTTCCGGGGGGCTGCGCCCCCTAGCCCCTGCCAAGGGGCTTCGCCCCTGGACCCCGCTGGGGGCTGCACCCCCAGACCCCTGCCACAGCTTCGCTCGCTGCGCAGCTGGATTGGACACGTCGACTCGCTTCGCTCGCCGACAGCCCCCTCCCCAAACTTGCGAGCGGGCCACAGAATTTAGAAAAAATGTATCTGTGAGGAAATATAAAACTTTCTGGATGTGGGGCCCCCACTATTGTAATTTACCCCCCCCCCCCCCCCCCCCCCCGGCCCCCACTATTGTAACTCACCACCCCCCCCCCCCCCCCCCCCCCCGGCCCCCACTATTGTAACTTACCCACCAGAAGAGGTTGATGCCCACAATTTCCCCGTCTGATAAAGTAATTTGGGACTGTTCCTCCTGATACACCTGGCAACTCCTCTGTTCGGGAGGTAATGTAGTCCAGATAGCGTTATAGTAGCTGTCATTCATCACACCTGTTGTAGTTGTAAGTGAAGTGGAATACCCCCCCCCCCCCCCCCCTCCAGGATATATTCGTGCCGCACGTAGCACTCAACAGCCAAGGTATTATTGTATTATAGTGTCCATCATTCATCACACCTGTGAGTGTGTAACAATAACCACCCTCAACAACCAGATACACACTTATTCTCAATTGTGGTGTGACCTCCCCCCTCCCCCTCAAATGTGGTGTGACACCCCTCCCCCCCATTGTGGTGTGACCTCCCTCCCCCCCCATTGTGATGTGACCCCCCGGCCCCCATGGCCATTGTGATGTGACCCCCCTCCTCCCAATTGTGATGTGACCTCCCCTCCATTGTGGTGTGACCCCCTACCCCCATTGTGATGTGACCCCCCCCCCCCCCCCCCCCCCAATTGTGATGTGACCCCCCCTCCTCCCAATTGTGGTGTGACCCCCCTCCTCCCAATTGTGGTGTGACCCCCCCCCCCCCTATTGTGGTGTGACCTCCCTCCCCCCATTGCGATGTGACCCCCTCCCCCCCAATTGTGGTGTGACCCCCCTTCCCCCAATTGTGGTGTGACCCCCCTCCCCCATTATCACAGCATATATTTAACCTGGTTCTGCGCTCGTGTTGTTGTAGGGCCACTTTGACGTGCCGTTTGTTGTCATGGTTACGTTTGGTTACGTTTGTTGCTGCGACATTCCTCCACAAGTCAGTATGAAACCACTGCTACACTGCTACATCAAATAGTACACGAGTATAGCTGGATTAGCTTATCTGCAATTAATGAAAAATCCTATTTAGAAGAAAACTAGGAAACTATCACAAATGTTGTATAAATACTAGACTGAGACTGGCGAGTAAAAAACCAATTTGCATTTTATCTGTTGACTGATGAACAAAATGTCCATTTCAACATAGGTTGACCACACCTCAGACTTCAGAGCGCACATTAAATCTAGTTTATCAGAGAACTGTATATATAGTCCCACCTGTGAGCCTGTATAAAGAAACTAAGACTGCAAATAAACACCTGCAAACAAATAATAAAATAATAATAATAAGTAAACAAATTCCTTTACACCACTCAGCTGAATACCCTCAAAACACTTTCTATTTATTTTAGTCAACTTTTGTAATTAGGTTAAATATTTGTAATTAGGTTAAATATTCTGCAAATTTGTACCAAATGTCCGCAGTAATTCCGTAAATATTGCTCTTGTTTGTTTGGTCACATTATATATTAGGTGGTGTAATTATCGGAGTAATTGAAGGGTGACGTTAAAACCAATAAAGTAATTCAGAGATACAGCTGTCCAGCTATTACTCGCTACCTATGTTGGAAGAGGGGGGATGGCTGTTTGGTCATAGTAAAATAACTGTTGCCCCCCCCCCCCCCATCCCCCCTCACAAGTACTGCATATCCGGCCTGTGAGCTACAAGTGTTAGTAATGACTAATTGAAGTGAGCACCGTAAGTTATCTTGGATGGTAATAGGAACTACCGGCGAGGGAGATGTTATTATCAATTAACTAATTACTGTGAACCGCTGCAATGTCTACAAAAATGACTTGCCGTCTATTTTCAACATGACTTAACCGCCGCGCAATTCAATTGTTCACCTAATATTTTACTGTGAATATAATAGGTCAATAAAACGCCGTGAAGCTAGTGAAACAGTTACTGTTAGTTTATAATCCGTTTTTAGTTTGAATAGAAATAAAACAAAAATGGTTAAATTCAAATCGGTAAATAAATACAGAAATAAAGATCTTACAAAACGTTTTCGAATTCTATCATAAAGTGATCAACAACAAAATTAGATTGGGTGAAAACGATCTTATCTTTCGTTACCTAAACTATAATCTAGATCTACATGCTCAACTGGAAAGAGTATTACCAGTCACAACTAATAATAATAATCTAACGGATTGGTTGAAAGTGCTTAAATCTCCTTAAGTAAATAACTCAAATACAGTGTACCTGAACAGCGTTACCATAGTTACACTACTAGTTACCATAGTTATAATACTAGTTACTATAGTTACAATAACAAAGGTATCCTACCGCACCTTATGGCATGTTACAATCGAAAGGAAGATTATCCTGGGGACATCCTTGGTCAGCAACATTCTGCATCCACTCACATGCGTCATCAGGACACGAAGTGTCCGCTCCCTGACCATCTGTTGACATGCCCAGCTTCAGTGCACAGTTGATCCTGTCTGCCTGTTCCAAAGCGCACTTCTGTTGAGGGGTAGGGGTGGCTCCGTCACAGTTCAGCTCGCTGCAAGCTCCTTCAGCTCCTATTCCGCAAGCAGTCCATGCTTGATCGAAGACTGCAGGAGGTCGGGACTGTGTGCAGCTGCCTGATGGCTCACATGCTGGAGCTTCAGTCTCCACCACGCACTTTCCTTTCGTTTTACCTACCTGCCAGTTCTTCCTCCTTCCAGAATTGCTGTCGAAACACAGCCCCATGTTAGCGCGCCCCTTCTGGAAATCACCAGTACTCGCATCACTCAGCAGCTTGATATGACCAGACATCAGACCATCGTAGAAAGCGACGAAGTATGGACACGTCACTTGAAGGTGGAACTCCGCGAATACCACTGAGCAGCCAGACTCACCCAACTCCTGCGCAACTCCTTCTTCCATCGCCACCTTGGTGTTATAAGGATCTTGAGTAACCACGATCCAGCCTCTCTGAATCTCAAAGATATACCTGCCAAGGTAGAATGTGACCGACATGAGAGCCGTCTTTCCGTCAATCTCGTCAAATGTTCCGTAAATAAACCAAGGGTTATAGTAGTCTCCACCAGGCATGAAATCAGCCGCCAGAACGTGAGTGCAGGAGAGATCGTAGAAGTGGGCCCTGCTGTTGAAGTCTTCCAGGACTCCGCCAGGGAGAAGACTGCAGACATGGCGGGGTTCCATTATTTCCAGGTTGTCTGCTCCAGCTGTACTAGTTACATATGGTTGAGTGGTAGGTTTTACTGGACACCTCACTCTGTATTCGTTGACGACAGCCTCTTCCTCGTTCATGCAGTGCATCACAGTTGCCACGTACTTTCCGCACGTTTCTTCGCTGAAAGTGAACTCGTAGTTCTCTGTACCCCTTAAGTATGTTGGTAGCCCATTCTCCGGGTAGAACACCCAACTGATATGCACCATTGGCACACCATCTGAAATAAGACCGGCTGATAAGTTGACAGTATCCCCGGTTTCAGCGTCAATGTCTTGGTCTATTTGGCGAATTACAGGATCCACTTTATTTGGGCAGAATCCACTGTTGAGGACCTCTCGTTCCTTTCCGTCGATGCACGTCTGCTCCTCCATAGCGCACTCGTGCCAGAATACCTCGCAGGTGCTGCTGCAGAGAACATTGAAGACCATTGGACACTTATAATCACACGTGCACTCCACAGTTCCTGTTTCGTAGTCCGGCTCGCACTTCTTATGCTCCCCGCACTCGTTGTCCTCGCAGAGGTCCTTTATCACCACTTCACACTCCTTTGTGGACCATCTTCCTAGATGGTGCACCACGCAGGTGTAGAATCCGTCGTGGACTCCTTTTGTGGCGTCCTGGTACTCCTTGATTAGAATAGTCGTTTCGGGTTCGGAGCTTAGCGCGTTATTCACAGCCTGCAGCGAAGCCTCGTCTGGGACGGAATTTTGGGGAGTGATTATCTGCGGAATTCCTAGATTAGCTGGAATATTTAACATGGACAATCAACAGTGATATCATTATTAGTGATATATTCATAAATTGTCAATCAGCCTAAAACTTGAAATATCGAGAGAAATAAACATGAAAATGGAAGGCTTGAGTGAGACTGAATATTTAAACACAGAAAACACATACCCTAGAAGACAATGCTGAGTCGGATCTGCAATCCATCTCGAAGTCGTCGCCTGGTTTGACGTACTGTATCGTACAGAGGTCGATGTCACCGTACATACCAGCCTGCCCATTTACCGCCAGCAGAACGAAGGACAGGGTGATGAAGAAAAGTGCTCTCATGATGACAAATCAGTGCAAATTAAAAGTTGTAAATTCAGAAGTGCTGAAAGCCTCTAGATCATCAGACTACTAGCCTGCGCCTTTTTGATTGATTGATCTGATAAAAATATCTGCATCATCCTCCACAGTGCAGATTTAGATCATGGAACAACAAATTGACACAGAGTGATCACTGTAATTTGCCCTCTTTACCTATTTCATGTCTGCTAGGAGGGCAATGAACGATTCATGACTCAATTATTGACCGGAACCCTAAGTAAAGTTAAAGATATTGCCGCCTAGTTGTATAGCCCGGTGCACACTTCGTGGAAAATCTCCCTGCAACGAGTGCTGATTGAGTTAGGTACTAGCGCCTCTGTTTTAATACTTGTATCCGGACGTGGGCAACGAGATAACCCAGTTAGGGTTTATATTATTATCAGGGCAACGAGATAACCCAGTTAGGGTTTATATTATTATCAGGGCAAGCCCGTTCTCCAAACCGACAATGCCTGAATGGATTTTGGAAATCCCCATAATAAATTGGCCAGGTAGCGCAGTTGGTTAGAACGCCAGCTTTGCAATCGTGAGGTTGCGGGTTCAAATCCCACTGTCTGCCTGGTCGTGGGCTGAGCGTCGTTGACGTTCAGCTAAGGATCCTGAGTGGTCTATGCAGCCCCCCGGTCTACTCAGCCGAATACTCGAGAAATCGGGTGTGAGGGTTAAATGAGGAGCTGCACATTGTAGCAAAGTCTCGGGCGAAGAAAATATGGTACACACTACCTTAACCGTCACTGGCTAAAAACAAATCCTTCGGCTTCTTGTAATTGGCTGGTTGCACTTGTGTAACAATATGGCTGTTGGAATACTCCGAAGTAAAATAAGTGTCTTGATTAAAAAAGTCCCCCAAAATGCCCCAAAATTATTCTAAATATTCATTGTGGCAACAGTTTATGTTTACACAAACCAGTTTCAGTCTATTGTTCAGTGCATGTTTTAGTTGAAATTGTAGTCTGCCTAGATTATGAATTAGACCAGTACAGAAACACCACATTTTCAGACTCAACAGGCAAATTTCTGAATTATTGCTCTGCTTATGAGTTATAACTCATAAGCAGAGCAATAATTCAGAAATTTGCTTACTAAATTATTAGTAATACTTACTAAATTAGTAATAATTGCTAAATTAGTAATACTTACTAAATTATTATATTCCCCTTTATATACTCATGGATCTGTTAACATTCCCGTCTAAAACACTCGGAAACAAATTCGGCCTGGGTAGAAATTGTAACTATGGTGCAGTTTTATTTTGCGCAATCCACTAATATGCTTTTTTTTGCGCTTTTTCGACTTTAAAATAAACATTTGGCTTCTAATAAGTCATTAGAGTTAAAAGCCAAACATTTTCACATTGAGTTGGGTAGAGCATAATGTCAAAGTTCTCAGTCATTAGTCATCCGATTTTTGAGTTGGTAGGCCTGTGGCGACTACAGCACTTTAAATCGAAATAACTCGGTTTCTGATTGGAGTTAGGAGCAGTGAATATTCAGAATGATCGTATTGAGTGGGGTAGAGCCTAGTTTCAAAGAACTCAGACATCAGGTTGTCAATTTATTAAGCCTTAGACATCAGAATGTTTAGTTATGAAGCCAAAACCTATTTTTATGCTCTTGCGTGTAGCGATTACAGCACTTTTTATTATTATTAAAGCAAGCTTCTAGTTTCGGGATAGCCTGTGGCAGGCAACGCCCGATACTAATGCTTCTACAGACCTACACAAGTGCAAGTAAGTAGGTAAATATTTCATGCTAGGCATGTAGCACCCATTACGGTAACCATCCATCGAAGTTTTTGCTTTTCGCTACATACTACATTGCACAGCTCCCCATCACACACGATTTCTCGAGCATTTGGCTGGGTGGACCGGGAGGCTGCATAGATCATTCAGGATCCTTAGCTGAACGTCGACGACCCTCACCCCACGACCAGGCAGCACTTAAAATCACAATAACTTGAAGGAGCTTAAATTGGGCTGTTCAGAATTATCATTTTGAGTGTGGTTAAAGTTAGGGTTAGAGTATGGTTTCAGACGTCGTCAGACATAAGGTTGTCGAGTTTGCCGTGCACTTTGGGAAAAGAAAAGTAGTATGGGAAATTTGGGTTTTTATTTGAGTCAAAAATAAGATCCTACGGTTTCTCTCATCACCATACTCATTACTCATGATACTAGTTACTACCCCCTTAAGGAACCGTTCACATTTAACGCCAGCAACTGAGGTAGGGTCGTCTCATGTTGCCAGTTGCTGACAAAGGATGTGAGGAGGGGAACGGGTAACAATTGCCAAAAACTTGCTGTCGTAATACTTGAAACTTGTGAACGCTCCCTTTTTCTGATGATGATGATGAAAGCAAGCCTGTGGCAGGCAACGCCCGATTCTAATGCTTCTGCCTTCTACAGACCTACACAAGTGCAAGTAAGTAGGTAAATATTTCATGCTAGGCATGTGGCACCCATTACGGTAACCATCCATTGAGTTTTTAATTTTTCGCTGTACTGTATTGCACAGCTCCCCATTTAACCCTCACACACGATTTCTCGAGCATTCGGCTGGGTGGACCGGGAGGCTGCATAGATTCTATGGAATCCTTAGCAGAACGTCGACGACGCTCACCCCACGACAAGGTAGACAGCGGGTTTCGAACTCGCAACCTTACGATTAAAAAGCTGGTACTCTAACCAACTGCGCTACCTGGCCGTTATAAAACATGATATAAAATGATTCTAAACATTTCGATGCTCAAGTTTTAGTAATTAAACCAATGATTGATCCGAGAAGAAACATATTGCAATAGGTATGGTAACTGGTAATTTATACAGGAGCGTTAAAATAGGGTTTGGCTAATTAACCTAACAACCAGATGTCTGAGGAAACCATGCTTTACCCAACTAATAGTCTGGATTTTGGACATCTAGTTGCCCAAGTTTAGCACCTAAGTCCTAACTATAATCAGAAGTGGAATTATTTAGATTTTCTCTAATATCGCTACAGGCGAAAGCGTAAAAGTAAGTTTTGGTCTAATAACTCGACAGCCTGATGTCTGAGGACTTTGAAACTAGGCTCTACCCCACTGAATACGATATTACTAACCACACTTAGAACCGGAAAATGCTGATTGGTTGGCCAAATTAGGGCCGGAAAAAGGACGATGAGGTATTCTCTTTTCGCCTCAGCTTTGGAGAGATAAACCAATAGGCGAAAAACTTTGACCCGGAAGAAATTGGGTCTATCTTGTTTATTTGTCGATGTAGAATCTTATAGGTTATATATCTGCTATCAAAAGGAAGTGTTTTCCCACCCAACTCTGCAGCTTGTTAGGACAGTATCCATTATCTGGATACTGCCCTTGTTTTATCTTTTTTTTCAATTTCTTTTTCGTGTGATGTTGCCTAGCATGAAAATGAAAACTGCAAAATTATGTTCGTTCGGTGTTTACATGAATACACCGTAAAAATAAGAAATTATTGAATTGATATAATGATACATTTCTATTCAGCAAGAAGATTGAATTTCAAACAAAATAATAAATTAGTCCATTAGCCCAAAAAAAATAAATTATTCCATTAGAGACAACCCCCTTACGAGGGGCTTTCAATCAATTAGTAAACAAATACTGATAGTTGGATAATACATCCGTTTATAAAGTTATCAACGACAAAATTTTAATATCGACTAAAATGTAAGATAACAACCAGGAAAGGTATAGTTTAATAGGGTTTCTACTCGATTACTCTTCTAAGCAATCGAAGGGAAGATTTTTCTGGGGACATCCTTGGTCAGCAACATTCTGCATCCACTCACATGCGTCATCAGGACACGAGGTATCCGCTCCCTGGCCATCTGTTGACATGCCCAGCTTCAGTGCACAGTTGATCCTGTCTGCCTGTTCCAAAGCGCACTTCTGTTGAGGGGTAGGGGTGGCTCCGTCACAGTTCAGCTCGCTGCAAGCTCCTTCAGCTCCTACTCCGCAAGCAGTCCATGCTTGATCGAAGACTGCAGGAGGTCGGGACTGTGTGCAGCTGCCTGATGCCTCACAGGCTGGAGCTTCTGTATCCACGTGGCACTCCCCATTCATCTCACCTACCTGCCAGTTAGATCTCCAGCCAGAGTCGCCGTCGAAACATAGCCCCATGTTAGCAAGACTCTTCTGGAAATCACCAGTACTCGCATCACTCAGCAGCTTGATATGACCAGACATCAGACCATCGTAGAAAGCGAGGAAGTAAGGACACGTCACTTGAAGGTGGAACTCCGCGAATACCACTGAGCAGCCAGACTCACCCAACTCCTGCTCAACTCCTTCTTCCATCGCCATCTTGGATCCTTCTTGCGAGATCACCACCCAGCCTCTCTGAACCTCAAAGATATTCCTGCCGATGTAGAATGTCATAGACATCAGAGCTGTCTTTCCGTCTATCACGTCAAAAGTTCCGTAAATGAACCAAGGGTTGGAGTAGTCTCCGCCAGGTATAGCGTCAGCTGCGAGGATGTGGGTGCAGGAGAGATCGTAGAAGTGGGCCCTGCTGTTGAAGTCTTCCAGGACTCCGCCAGGGAGAAGACTGCAGACATGGCGGGGTTCCATTATTTCCAGGTTGTCCGCTCCGGCTGTACTAGTTACATATGGTTGAGTGGTAGGTTTTATTGCACACCTCACTCTGTATTCGTTGACGACAGCCTCTTCCTCGTTCATGCAGTGCATCACAGTTGCCACGTACTTTCCGCACGTTTCTTCGCTGTAAGTGAACTCGTAGTTCTCCTCACCCCTTAAGTACGTTGGCAGTCCATTCTCCGGATAGAACACCCAACTGATATGCGCCATTGGCACACCATCTGTAATAAGACCGGCTGATAAGTTGACAATATCCTCGCTTTCTGCGTCAATGTCTTCGTTGATTTGGCGAATTACAGGCTCCACTTTATTTGGGCAGAATCCACTGTTGAGGACCTCTCGTTCCTTTCCGTCGATGCACGTCTGCTCCTCCATAGCGCACTCGTGCCAGAATACCTCGCAGGTGCTGCTGCAGAGAACATTAAAGGTCATTGGACACTTATAATCACACGTGCACTCCACAGTTCCTGTTTCGTAGTCCGGCTCGCACTTCTTATGCTCCCCGCACTCGTTGTCCTCGCAGAGGTCCTTTATCACAACTTCACACTCCTGTACGGACCATCTTCCTGGATGGTGCACTACGCAGGTGTAGAATCCGTCGTGGACTCCTTTTGTGGCGTCCTGGTACTCCTTGATAACTATAGTCGTTTCGGGTTCGGAGCTTAGCGCATTATTCAGAGCCTGCAACGAAGCCTCGTCTGGGACGGAATCTTGGGGAGTGATTATCTGCGGAATTCCTAGATTAGCTGGAATATTTAACATGGAAAATCAACAGTGACATCATTTTCAGCGATATATTCATAAATTTCAATCAGCCTAAAACTTGAAATATGAGAGAAATAAACATGAAAATGGAAGGCTTGAGACTGAATATTTAAACACAGAAAACACATACCCTAGAAGACAATGCTGAGTCGGATCTGCAATCTATCTGGAAGTCTTCGCCTGGTTTGACGTACTTTATTGTACAGAGGTCGATGTCACCGTACCTACTAGACTGCCCATTTACCGCCAGCAGAACGAAGGACAGGGTGATAAAGAAAAGTGCTCTCATGATGACAAATCAGTGCAAATTAAAAGTTGTAAATTCAGAAGTGCTGAAAGCCTCTAGATCATCAGACTACTAGCCTTGTGATTGATTGATCCGATAAAAATATCTGCATCATCCTCCACAGTGCAGATAAATGCTGAAGTGCTGCAAACTTCCGGCCGATTTGCAGAGAGTCCTTCAGAGCATGGAACAATATATGAAAAGTGAGTATTTAATATAATTTGCTGCTTCCTGTCTACCTGTTCCAGAAAAAGCTGATTGGTTTAAAGGATTAAGAACAGTTCTTGAGGATCATTTATTTGTCAAATTCATAGTTAAACTGATCGGGGATCTCACTGGGTGAAGTACATACCCTTAGACCCTTAGACTGGGTGAACTCCCCTTGGAATACAGACCCTTAGTCTAGTGGCTAGAGAGTGGGTATCATTATTGAGTTAGTTGATTAGTCCACAGTAGCAGGATATAGGCTAATGTAACATGTCATCTCGTTTACAATATATACACAGGAAGCAGGGTGGTATAAGGAACTGTAGTTCAGATCACTGGTAAAAGCTACTCCATCGACCGCGCCTCTTTTTCCATCGTCCACGTGAAGAGACAAAAGCAAACGGCGCGGAGAAAAACTTTTGCTCGAAAGGTCGGGTGTATGGGTCCCGTGTATCTTATTTCTAAATGTAGAATAAACAGTTTTATGAAGGAGCAATCTTGCCAGCACTGTGAAAACAGTTTTGCTCCTAATGGTCAGTAATGTAAATATTTGCTATGAAAAAATATTTTCCTACCAAACTTGGATCTGGATTTATAATTTGTTAAACTTTCATCCATATTGTGTGCTGTTGACTAGTAAAATGAAGATTAAAAAACAAACATTATATATAATATTATAAAGGAGCATTATATATAATATATGTACGTTGTACTGTGCACATGGATAAAACGGGATAAAACGTAACGAGGATAAAATGTTATCAAAATGTAAAGCATGTACTGATAGTGATAGTCATCCTTCATCTGAAAGATGATTGGAAATATCCTTATATTTAAGATTGTCAAAATAACTGTAGTGATTCAATTTAATAAAGTCATTATATTTAATCAGTTCGCATCTTCCTGCCTTATTATGTCACCTACTGTAACATTACCTTATATGGTAATGTTACTATGGTAACTACTGAACAAGATACGCGCCCGAACCAATCCTAAACGAACAACCCAAAACTAAAATTCTGGGGCAAGAGGTCTTTAGGTGAGACGACAGCTACATTCCTTATTCAGTTTATTCATGCTAACACAATCCACCTCTAAAAGTCTTTCATCTTTAATTTTGCTAAGTATTTGAGAGAGGTTCAGAGACAGACGAAGGGAAGGTTCTTCTGGGGACAACCCCTGGAAACAACATCCTTATACCAATCACAAGGCTCCTCCGGACAGGCTACATCAACTCCAGCCACACTGCCCCCCATCTTCAGGTTACAGTTCACTCGGTTAGCTTGCTCCAAGGCACACTTCTGGGCTGGTGTGGGAGTGGATCCGTCACAGTTCAGCTCGCTGCAAGCGCTCTCTGCCCCCATCCCACAGACTGTCCACTCACTGTCATCAATAGCAGGAGGTTGAGACAGCATACAGTTATCCGGGGCTTCAGTCTCACAGGCTGGCTCTGTTTTGTCCACCAGACAATCTCCCTTCATGTTACCTACCTGCCAGTTGGGTCTCCAGCCGGACTTGCTGTCGAAGCACAGTCCCACGTTTCCTCTCCCTTTCTGGAGGTTCCCGTCCCCTGCTACCCCCTTAAGTTTGATATGACCAGACATGATCCCGTCATAGTGAGCCTGGAAGTGGGGGCAGTCCACGTTCATGTGGCCGTGTTGGAATGTTAATGAGCACCCTGTCTCCCCAACATCCTGGGAAACTCCTTCCGTGAAGGCGAACTTGCCGTTTCCTGCGTGCACCAACCATCCTCTCTGCACCTCGAATATCTCCCGACCTAGATAGAATGTCATGGACATGAGAGCGGTTTTACCGTCGTGGTTATCAAAGGTACCGTAGATGAACCAGGGGGTGACGTAGTTACCTCCGGGCATAAAGTCTGCTGCTAAAACGTGCGTACAGGAGAGGTCGTAGAAGTGGGGTCTGCTGTTGAAATCCTCGATGATCCCGCCGGGGAAGGCACTGCAAGTGTATCCTCTCACTTTGATGTCGTCTGGGGGAGCAGTGGGTGTTGGTGTTGAAGGTGGCTGGAAGATTCCCAATCTGTATTCGTTGTGAACAGCTTCCTCCTGCTTCATACATTGCATAATTGTGATCTTGTAAGTACCTACAGAGTTCTCATCCAGGGTGAAGGTATAGGTCTCTCTGGCGGACAGTTCAACTGGTTCTCCTGACTCTGGGTAGAATACCCACTGGATGTAAGCAGAGGGGGTCCCATCTCCTATTAGCCCGGAATGTAGCGTCCTCGCCGTACCCAATTCTTCCACAGCAATTTCGTCTTCTTGATCAATTTCCCGAATTTTCAGATTCACTATGTCAGGACAAAATCCCTTATTCATGATTTCCCGCTCTATCCCGTCTTTACAAGTTTCTTCGTTCATTGCACACTCATGCCAGAAAATCTCACAGCTAGTCGTACAGAGAATGTCCATGTCCATGTCCTCACAATCATAATTACAGGTACATTCCACAGTTCCTGTACTATAGTCAGGTTCGCAGATCTCCTTGTCTCCGCACCCGGAGTCTGCACACAGGTCCACTATGATCACCTGGCAGCGGTCCACCGAGTAAGCGGGCTCGTGCTCCGGTCCGTGGTACACTACACAAGTGTAGTGCCCGTCGTCTACTCCCACAGCTGCGTCAAAGTAGTTCTTGATAGTGGTGGTTCCGTCCGCTCCTTCATCGCTAAGGGTCTGGCTTATCTCGTCGAACGTCTCTTCTGATGGGACCTCGTCAGTAGGCCTATACACCTGGAGAGGATGGTGTTCTTAATGATGGTTACTATAATAGTTACTAGGGTTACTAAGGTAATCTCCAACGTCTAATTGTTTGGAGATTTCTCGGAATTTTTAATTATTAAATTTGAACCCCATTTATACAGTATTTTTCAGATAAACTTCTTATGTCGTACGTGCAAATCCTAGCTAGAGCTAGACCAGAAAATAATAATACAATTTTTTAGGGTTTGTGAACAATTTGAATGGGGCCGCCTACTAAAAAATTAAAATACAATTACAAGAACTTACCTTGGTGAGAATGGAATGATCGGACTGTTAATGGAATGATCGGACTGTTACAAGAACTTACCTTGGTAAGAATGGAATGATCGGACTGTTACAAGAACTTACCTTGGTAAGAATGGAATGATCGGACTGGCACCGGATGTTGAAGTCATCTCCGGGTTTTACATATTTCACTTCACACGTTCGTATAAGCCCAAAAGAAGTTGAATCAGAGAGATGCTGGCTCTCCACTAGAATGATCGGCAGCAACAAAACCAGTAACTTCATCTTTCTCAATTCGATAGAAATGGATGTCTCGGCTCCCAACTTAGTGTTTTAAAGGTCAAGTTACTACCCGTCTTTCATGTTAATTCGATAAAGTTTCCTATTTTATGAGTGTTCCGTCTTGTAGGCACCCGATTTAATTCGTTTCAATCCGTTCCTGAAACCACAAGTTAAGTATATTGGCAGTCTTGAGCCTGGTGGCATCGTGCCGGTCAAATCACATTACTGCAAATTTATTTTTTAGTTGCAAATTTAAGGCTCGCGGGGTCGTAGGTATTTGGAACATGGAATTAATACAGCAACAATGGTGAACTACCGGAATTGATCAGGTTTCAGAGCCCCTTATAGTGCCCTTAAGGACCACGTAATTCTCACTGATTGTGTCATGAGTAAAAGTCAGTGAAATAAATAATTTCTGAATCTACTTCAGATTCCGATTTTTTTAAATAATGTTTTTAAATAATGTTTTATGTTAGCTCGTAGACTCATTTTCAGGAGATGACATGCTACGTTTATTGTTTCATACGACTCCAAGACCTAAGTGTAAATATCCCTGACAATAAAAGAGAATATGTGGAACAAAAACCGTGTCTTGGTCATTATGATGGTTACTTAATTGTATTCCGTATTTGTACAGGAGTGATATCCTATTCGGGAGCGGCAGGTAGTTGAACTCGTGATCTAATGTGCTGTGTATACTAACGACCACTATAATAATCAGGTGGCAAGTCATGGGCACAAAATGAGATTCATTCCAGATTAGGTTAAAATTTATGAAATTTATTTTCGTTCAACACGTGTATTCTTTAAAACGTACAGTTTAGAAAAGAACAAATTTTAAACCAAAATGAACAATGAACATCTAAAATAATTTATAAAATACGACGGAATGTTTGTTCTTGCTTCATATTAAATTAATTCAATTCTAGTGTTGAAGTCCAGTCACACGCCCATAAGATAATAATAAGAAGTATGAGAAGCTACTACTAAGGTAACTAGTATTAACTAGAAGTAGTAACACTCAAGAGCAGTCAAAGGGAAGATACTCCTGGGGGCAGCCCTGAGAATATACAGCCTGTTTCCAGTCGCATTCCTCTTCCGGACACTCAGCGTCAAATCCAAACAAACCTCTCCCCAGCTTCAAACTGCAATTGATTCTGTTGGCTTTCTGCAGAGCGCACTTCTGTTGAGGGGTAGGGGTGGCTCCACCACAGTTCAGCTCCTTGCAAGCTCCTTCAGCTCCCACCCCGCACGGGGACCACTCGCTCCCCTCGGTCTGTGGAGCTCGAGACAGCTGGCACGTGTCCGGCCCCTCTGACTCACACGAGGGCTCCTCTACGTCTATCTTACATTGCCCTCTCATCCTTCCTATCTGCCAGTTAGGTCTCCACCCTGAATTACTGTCAAAGCAAAGTCCTAAGTTCCCCCTTCCTTTTCTCAGGTCTTCAGTTCCAGCGTCACCCTTTAGCTTGATGTGTCCGGACATGAGCCCGTCATAGTACGCCTCGAACAGAGGGCAGTTCACCTGAATATGCAGATCAGAGTAGTTAACAGTGCACTCAGTGTTAGGAACCAGCTGTTCCACCCCCTCGTCCAGTTCCATCTTGTTCCCCGACCCTGTGTGCACGATCCAACCTCTCTGAACCTCAAATATGTTCCTACCTAGGTAGAAGGTCATGTGCATGAGAGCGGTCTTACCGTCCAGGATATCAAAGGTACCGTAAATAAACCAAGGGTCTATGTAGTATCCTCCAGGCATGAGGTCAGCTGCTAGTATATGAGTGCAGGAGAGGTCGTAGAAGTGGGCCCTGCTGTTGAAGTCTTCCAGGACTCCGCCGGAGAAAGCACTACAAGTGTAACCAGGTGGTCCTCCTGCCTTCAGTTGTCCAGGCAGATCATAGGCAGGTGTGGGGGAGGTGGTGTCCACTGGAGGAGAGGTTGTCACTCTCTTGATTCCAAACCTATACTCGTTACGAACAGCGGTCTCCGTGTTCATGCAGTGAGTCAGGGTGATTCTGTAGGTCCCCACCGAGTCCTCAGTCACTTGGAACCTGTAATTCTCCCTTACAGACAAGTAAGAGGGTTCTCCATTGTCAGGGTAGAATACCCAGTGAACTGTTGCCATGGGTGTTCCGTCTTTTATCAGTCCGGACGCTAATGTAACAAACTCGCCTAACTCTGCTTCAATTTCCTGGTCAATGTCCCTGATTGTTGGCTCCACTCGATTTGCACAGAACCCCCGATGAGCGATCTGCCTATCCTTCCCATCCTCACACACCCTCTCTTCCATAGCACATTCATGCCAGAACACCTCACACGTATCAGTACAGAGGGCATCAAAAGCAAAGGGGCACTTATAATCACAGGTACATTCCACAGTTCCTGTACTGTAGTCAGGTTCACAGATCTCCTTGTCTCCGCACCCGGAGTCCTCACACAGGTCCACTATGATCACCTGACAGGTATCTAGAGAGTAAAGTAGTTCATGGCGAGGACCGTGCTGGATAACACACGTGTAGAAACCGTCATCCACCCCTTTAGTTGCGTCTTCATACTCGTTTATAGTTGTAGTTCTTTCAGCACGTGATTTGAACAAGGAATCAGCAGCTAGCTGTTCATCCGAGGGCACTGCTTCGCCGGGCTGGTAGATCTGAGACATTGTTAGTTATCAGTCACTTGTTGATTACCAGTCACTTGTTGATTATCAGTCACTTGTTGATTATCAGTCACTTGTTAGTTATCAGTCACTTGTTAATTATCAGTCACTTGCTAATTATCACTTTATGACAATCAGGAATATTCTTCATGAATTTGAAACACGGGAAATACCCTGGTAGCTGTGGAGTGTGGACACTACTTACTATTACATACCCTGGTAGCTGTGGACACTACTTACTATTACATACCCTGGTAGCTGTGGACACTACTTACTATTACATACCCTGGTAGCTGTGGACACTACTTACTATTACATACCCTGGTAGCTGTGGACACTACTAACTATTACATACCCTGGTAGCTGTGGACACTACTTACTATTACATACCCTGGTAGCTGTGGACACTACTTACTATTACATACCCTGGTAGCTGTGGACACTACTTACTATTACATACCCTGGTAGCTGTGGACACTACTTACTATTACATACCCTGGTAGCTGTGGACACTACTTACTATTACATACCCTGGTAGCTGTGGACACTACTTACTATTACATACCCTGGTAGCTGTGGACACTACTTACTATTACATACCCTGGTAGCTGTGGACACTACTTACTATTACATACCCTGGTAGCTGTGGACACTACTTACTATTACATACCCTGGTAGCTGAGGACACTACTTACTATTACATACCCTGGTAGCTGTGGACACTACTTACTATTACATACCCTGGTAGCTGTGGACACTACTTACTATTACATACCCTGGTAGCTGTGGACACTACTTACTATTACATACCCTGGTAGCTGTGGACACTACTTACTATTACATACCCTGGTAGCTGTGGACACTACTTACTATTACATACCCTGGTAGCTGTGTACACTACTTACTATTACATACCCTGGTAGCTGTGGACACTACTTACTATTACATACCCTGGTAGCTGTGGACACTACTTACTATTACATACCCTGGTAGCTGTGGACACTACTTACTATTACATACCCTGGTAGCTGTGGACACTACTTACTATTACATACCCTGGTAGCTGTGGACACTACTATTACATACCCTGGTAGCTGTGGACACTACTTACTATTACATACCCTGGTAGCTGTGTACACTACTTACTATTACATACCCTGGTAGCTGAGGACACTACTTACTATTACATACCCTGGTAGCTGTGGACACTACTTACTATTACATACCCTGGTAGCTGTGGACACTACTTACTATTACATACCCTGGTAGCTGTGGACACTACTTACTATTACATACCCTGGTAGCTGTGGACACTACTTACTATTACATACCCTGGTAGCTGTGGACACTACTTACTATAACATACCCTGGTAGCTGTGGACACTACTTACTATTACATACCCTGGTAGCTGTGGACACTACTTACTATTACATACCCTGGTAGCTGTGGACACTACTTACTATTACATACCCTGGTAGCTGCTGCATAATCTGATTTGCAAGGTATCTGAAAGTCGGAGCCAGGCTTAACGTATTGTAGGTCGCACGTGTAAATGTTACCGTACAATTGGCCCTCCGCAAACAATACGGGAGACAAACAAACAATCAACCAAAGAAAGCTCATCTTGTAAATAATCTGGCCGTTTCATCGAGCCCTTTTGTTAGTCGCAGTTTTTAACGTAGTTTAAATTTAATTCATTTTCTGAACTCAATCATAGATGTTTCAATGTTATTCGGGCAGTTTGTGTTTCTTCGAAAAAACATTTAACGTTAGTTCAGGCTTGCAACAGTTGAATGATATAATCACTGCAGAATTGATTCTGATATTTATTAAAACTATTCCCGTGTTATTTTCAATCGGTATCTCTTTCCAAAAAAATTGATCTTTTGTCAGGCTATACTTCTCTAATATTTGAATTCATCTAATATTGACTCACAGTTTCTGGTATTTCTGTTGTTGGTTTTTCAAATATGAATCACTATATTTGTTCCTTGCGAGTTGTAACTACTACTACTACGTTGTAAGCGATGCAATCACAGCAATCTAATCACTGCAAACTAGTCTGCAGAGCAGAGTTACCTTGTTAACACTGTAACACTGTTACAGGTGGCTTAACTATCACTTGAAGGTAAATTTGGAAATGACCGCCATTCTTTAATTTCCTAGATTCCTCCTTTTTGAGCTCTGATATACGGGGAACTACCTAGTTACCACCTAGTTACCACCTAGTTACCACCTAGTTACCACCTAGTAACCACTAGATTCCCCCTTTTTGAGCTCTGATGAAATTATATTTTACATTAAGATGCTACCATCTCGGTCCTGTCTGAAAGATAAATTACTTTCGTTCTAACTTAATGATTAAAGATAACTACTCCCCAACTTCGCTGTAGACACTTGAGCCCACACAACACAGCAAGATAGCAGCTATGGTACAGTAAAACCCCGAATAACCTCTGAGTTTTGGGGGTAAATCGGGGATTGCGGTAAATCGGGGTTTTGTTTGTTCAACGTATGTATGTTAAGTCCTATTAGGGGAAATGAAATGTTTTACTGTAGTAAGACGATCTAAATATGTGTGTTTCAGAGACAAAACAATCGCTACGACAATCAGAGGAGAAAAACAGGAAGAAAGATAAAGAGAAGATTGATTTGGACTCTCAGCTTTCTAAAGCTAAATCAGAATTTTCCAAAATTGACTCAAAGTACAAGGAGCTCGTAGAGAAGGTACAGTTTACACACAGCCAGTTTGCAGTGGTTACTATGGTTACACCCGGTCCACATTTATTGGATTCAATCTTTTCAGCCCAATCTATTTCTTGTCTTAAATTATTATTATGTATTAGTGTTTGACAATATTTCATGTGAAATTGAAAACTTGAAGTCAAATGTCAAATTTATCAAAACATTTACGCATTTTCGATAAATATGAATTAGGAGCAATAGTCCTCTAACAGTCGGTCTGCAGTGTACCCATTTGTCCGCAGTTTCTAATTTCATGATAATTCTCAGGAGAAGATGCAGGGTTGTAAGGTAGTTGAAAAAGAGAAAGCCATAGAAGCACTGAACAGCGAGGTCACCAAGCAAAAGGAGGAGATTGAGAAGTACTCAAAACTCATGGCCATGTTTCACAATCTTAGTACTACTAAGATTGTGAAATAGTAGCGGCCAGATCCCACAGAGGTAACTATGGTTACAGCCGATCTGCAGTGGTTACTATGGTTACAGCCGATCTGCAGTGGTTACTATGGTAACAGCTGGCCTGCAGTGGTTACTATGGTAACAGCCGGTCTGCAGTGGTTACTATGGTTACAGCCGGTCTGCAGAGGTAACTATGGTTACAGCCGATCTGCAGTGGTTACTATGGTTACAGCCGATCTGCAGTGGTTACTATGGTTACAGCTGGCCTGCAGTGGTTACTATGGTTACAGCCGGTCTGCAGTGGTTACTATGGTTACAGCCGATCTGCAGTGGTTACTATGGTTACAGCCGATCTGCAGTGGTTACTATGGTTACAGCTGGCCTGCAGTGGTTACTATGGTTACAGCCGGTCTGCAGAGGTAACTATGGTTACAGCCGGTCTGCAGTGGTTACTATGATAACTGTTTAGACGTAAACAAACCCTGTTTTACAAACGGTGTTAATTTCGTAAAAGCGCTTTAAAATAACTTTACTTGTAACTTGTACAGTTTTACAAAAGTATTGTACCAATTCTCTATATTAATAGATTTTAGCTGATATTTTTTCAAAGACTGAAAATTCTTTCATTACTGAAATAGTGAAAGTAAAATGACTAAAATGTTACTGTTGCTCCTACACGACTAATGACTTGATATTTCTAGAAATCTTTGTTTTGTTATTCTGAACTTATTTGAAATTGTTCAAACAGTACTTTATGAGTTTTCTGTTTTCATAGACCAAGTTCGTTTAGTGGGGCAACCAAGATTATAGAACTCATCTGGCTAAAGTATTTGAAAATATTAATGACCCCGCGTTAGAACGAATAACTGCAAAACTTTAGGTCAGCACACATTTTCATATTCGAAAAAGGGCAACCGGAATTTCTTCGAATTTTCATTGCAACCATAGAAGAGATTTTAGTGCCTACTAAATTAGACTGATAAGTTACATTATATTTAATAAAAGTGAGACCATAGAACTCAGCGTTTCAAAACACAAAATTCAAATGTAAAAGAAAATAAATGTATATTCAGCAGAGACTTGGAGGTAACATATTTAAGAGCATATTGTACTCAATCAATATCGCCATAACGACCCTTAGTAACCACCATAACGACTCTTAGCAACCAGCAAGTTGATATCTCTACAGCTTTCCAAGCCATACTTCTAAAAAATGTTTCACTTCCCAAAAATATTTAGGTCAATAATTTCAAGTTTTGTCCAAAAGTATAATTCACTGAATTGCAGCGCCCCCTTTGACCGTGTCTTTGAATAACTATTCTCTTGGCAATGTGCCCTGTACTTATACGTCAAGTAGGACAAGTCACCTGGCATGGCAATCTGCCAAGTCACCTGCACTGTACTGTTCACACGCTAAAATCACACTGTCATTAGCTCGTCCGTGGCTCAGAAAGAAATTGTCTGGGAAAAGTAGAAAGCTTTGAGCATTTCCGCGTAGTCCATCTTGCCATCGTGGTCCATGTCTGTACTCTCTAGGAAATCCTCCACATCTGCCCACGAGTAACAGCTGTCCGATATCTGGTAAATATGTTTTGTCACCATGGTTACGTAAACGTGAAACTACCGGGGTTCACCAAGCCGTTAATAATGAGTAGCTGGCCCGGAGAAACAGGCAATTTAACTTCTTGGTCAGGGCACAGGACTAAACAATAATAAATATTATCTTAATATTATAATTATTATAAATATTATCTCTAGATAAACGCATATTCATAATATTGCCAAAACAACAAGCTTCATTTGACAAATTTCGTACAACACAATAAAATCTGCTTTCCAAGACCTGCTTACCTTTTTCATCATATTGAAGACTTCTTTGGCATCAAGCTTTCCATTGTGATCCAAATCCATGTCTTCAAATCCTTCTTTGTAACCGAGAGGGATTGGTTTACTTATTGAAATTGATACAGCCTGATGGAAGGTACTTAGTCATATTATTATCTAGCATAGTCATTAGCCATATTATTATCTAGCATAGTCATTAGTCATATTATTATCTAGCATAGTCATTAGTCATATTATTATCTTGCATGGTCATTAGTCATATTATTAACTAGCATAGTCATTAGTCATATTATTATCTAGCATAGTCATTAGTCATATTGTTATCTAGCATAGTCATTAGTCATATTATTATCTAGCATAGTCATTAGTCATATTATTATTTAGCATAGTCATTAGTCATATTATTATCTAGCATAGTCATATTATTATCTAGCATAGTCATTAGTCATATTATTATCTAGCATAGTCATTAGTCATATTATTATCTAGCATAGTCATCAGTCATATTATTATCTAGCATAGTCATTAGTCATATTATTATCTAGCATAGTCATATTATTATCTAGCATAGTCATTAGTCATATTATTATCTAGCATAGTCATTAGTCATATTATTATCTAGCATAGTCATCAGTCATATTATTATCTAGCATAGTCATTAGTCATATTATTATCTAGCATAGTCATTAGTCATATTATTATCTAGCATAGTCATTAGTCATATTATTATCTAGCCTAGTCATTAATCATATTATTATCTAGCATAGTCATTAGTCATATTATTATCTAGCATAGTCATTAGTCATATTATTATCTAGCATAGTCATTAGTCATATTATTATTTAGCATAGTCATTAGTCATATTATTATCTTGCATAGTCATTAGTCATATTATTATCTAGCATAGTCATTAGTCATATTATTATCTAGCATAGTCATTAGTCATATTATTAGCTAGCATAGTCATTAGTCATATTATTATCTAGCATAGTCATATTATTATCTAGCATAGTCATTAGTCATATTATTATCTAGCATAGTCATATTATTATCTAGCATAGTCATTAGTCATATTATTATCTAGCATAGTCATTAGTCATATTATTATCTAGCATAGTCATTAGTCATATTATTATCTAGCATAGTCATATTATTATCTAGCATAGTCATTAGTCATATTATTATCTAGCATAGTCATATTATTATCTAGCATAGTCATTAGTCATATTATTATCTAGCATAGTCATATTATTATCTAGCATAGTCATATTATTATCTAGCATAGTCATTAGTCATATTATTATCTAGCATAGTCATTAGTCATATTATTATCTAGCATAGTCATATTATTATCTAGCATAGTCATTAGTCATATTATTATCTAGCATAGTCATTAGTCATATTATTATCTAGCATAGTCATACTCATATTATTATTTAGCATAGTCATATTATTATTTAGCAGAGTCATATTACTCAGTACAACCACAATGATGTTTACGTTCACATGCGCATATGTTTACCTGAACGAAGTTAGGGAAGGTAACAGTTGTACATGTTTACCTGAACAAAGTTAGGGAAGGTAACAGTAATACATGTTTACCTGAACAAAGTTAGGGAAGGTAACAGTTGCACATGTTTACCTGAACAAAGTTAGGGAAGGTAACAGTTGTATATGTTTACCTGAACGAAGTTAGGGAAGGTAACAGTAGTACATGTTTACCTGAACGAAGTTAGGGAAGGTAACAGTTGTATATGTTTACCTGAACGAAGTTAGGGAAGGTAACAGTAGTACATGTTTACCTGAACAAAGTTAGGGAAGGTAACAGTAGCACATGTTTACCTGAACGAAGTTAGGGAAGGTAACAGTAGCACATGTTTACCTGAACGAAGTTAGGGAAGGTAACAGTAGTACATGTTTACCTGAACAAAGTTAGGGAAGGTAACAGTAGCACATGTTTACCTGAACAAAGTTAGGGAAGGTAACAGTAGCACATGTTTACCTGAACGAAGTTAGGGAAGGTAACAGTTGTACATGTTTACCTGAACGAAGTTAGGGAAGGTAACAGTTGTACATGTTTACCTGAACAAAGTTAGGGAAGGTAACAGTAGCACATGTTTACCTGAACAAAGTTAGGGAAGGTAACAGTTGTACATGTTTACCTGAACGAAGTTAGGGAAGGTAACAGTTGTATATGTTTACCTGAACGAAGTTAGGGAAGGTAACAGTAGCACATGTTTACCTGAACGAAGTTAGGGAAGGTAACAGTTGTATATGTTTACCTGAACGAAGTTAGGGAAGGTAACAGTAGCACATGTTTACCTGAACGAAGTTAGGGAAGGTAACAGTAGCACATGTTTACCTGAACGAAGTTAGGGAAGGTAACAGTAGCACATGTTTACCTGAACGAAGTTAGGGAAGGTAACAGTAGCACATGTTTACCTGAACGAAGTTAGGGAAGGTAACAGTAGCACATGTTTACCTGAACGAAGTTAGGGAAGGTAACAGTAGCACATGTTTACCTGAACAAAGTTAGGGAAGGTAACATTAACATATGTTTACCTGAACGAAGTTAGGGAAGGTAACAGTAGCACATGTTTACCTGAACGAAGTTAGGGAAGGTAACAGTAGCACATGTTTACCTGAACGAAGTTAGGGAAGGTAACAGTAGCACATGTTTACCTGAACAAAGTTAGGGAAGGTAACAGTAGCACATGTTTACCTGAACGAAGTTAGGGAAGGTAACAGTAGCACATGATCCCACAATTTCCCGGAGGTAATGAGACAGCGGGTACTTGGCGTCTCCGTAAAACTTGAAGTCCAGCTTGGTGAGGAGTGCAACAGCAGCGTTAAATGTCAGCACTCGCTCATCGTCCAGGCACTCGCTGTCGAACACTCGCTGGAACAGTCGCACTGACTCGAAATTGAAGGGGTCCTGTGCTTTCCTGTGAATAGAGATCGTTTGAAGTTTGTTTCAATGGTAGATAAGCTTTAACGATTCCCTTGAGGCAGATTTGCAGCAGTTTGGTTATAGTTGTTCTGGAAATTTAAACAAATCTGATCTCGGCAGAACAAACCTGATCTCGGCAGCTAGAGCCCGGCTGTTGTCGTCCACCCCGTTATTTGATGAACTCTTCTGTAGAGTCATATTCTCCTGGGATATTGAGGTGTATTACAATATAATATCATGTGGGGGAGGTGGGAGTAGGAGGAGGGGGGAGTAGGAGGAAGGGAGAGTATGAGGATGGGGGGTAGGAGAGGGGAGTAGGAGGAGGGGGAGTAGGAGGAGGAGGAGGAGGAGGAGGGGGAGTAGGAGGAGGTGGGAGTAGGAGGAGGGGGAGTAGGAGAAGGTGGGGGTAGGAGAGGGGAGTAGAAGGAGGGGGAGTAGGAGGAGGAGGAGTAGGAGGAGGGGAGAGTATGAGGATGGGGGGTAGGAGAGGGGAGTAGGAGGAGGGGGAGTAGGAGGAGGAGGAGGAGGAGGAGGAGGGGGAGTAGGAGGAGGGGGGAGTAGGAGAGGGGAGTAGGAGGAGGGGGAGTAGGAGGAGGAGGAGGAGGAGGAGGTGGGAGTAGGAGAGGGGAGTAGGAGGAGGGGGAGTAGGAGGAGGAGGAGGAGGAGGAGGGGGGAGTAGGAGGTGGGGGTAGGAGAGGGGAGTAAGAGGAGGGGGAGTAGGAGGAGGAGGAGGAGGGGGGAGTAGGAGGAGGTGGGGTAGGAGAGGGGAGTAGGAGGAGGGGGAGTAGGAGGAGGAGGAGGAGGAGGAGGGGGAGTAGGAGGAGGTGGGGTAGGAGAGGGGAGTAGGAGGAGGGGGAGTAGGAGGAGGAGGAGGAGGAGGAGGAGGGGGGAGTAGGAGGAGGTGGGGGTAGGAGAGGGGAGTAGGAGGAGGGGGGAGTAGGAGGAGGTGGGGTAGGAGAGGGGAGTAGGAGGAGAGGGAGTAGGAGGAGGGGGAGTAGGAGGAGGGGGGGGAGTAGGAGGAGGGGGGAGTAGGAGAGGGGAGTAGGAGGAGGGGGAGTAGGAGGAGGAGGAGGAGGAGGAGGTGGGAGTAGGAGAGGGGAGTAGGAGGAGGGGGAGTAGGAGGAGGAGGAGGAGGAGGAGGGGGGAGTAGGAGGTGGGGGTAGGAGAGGGGAGTAAGAGGAGGGGGAGTAGGAGGAGGAGGAGGAGGGGGGAGTAGGAGGAGGTGGGGTAGGAGAGGGGAGTAGGAGGAGGGGGAGTAGGAGGAGGAGGAGGAGGAGGAGGGGGAGTAGGAGGAGGTGGGGTAGGAGAGGGGAGTAGGAGGAGGGGGAGTAGGAGGAGGAGGAGGAGGAGGAGGAGGGGGGAGTAGGAGGAGGTGGGGGTAGGAGAGGGGAGTAGGAGGAGGGGGGAGTAGGAGGAGGTGGGGTAGGAGAGGGGAGTAGGAGGAGGGGGAGTAGGAGGAGGGGGAGTAGGAGGAGGGGGGATTAGGAGGAGGGGGAGTAGGAGGTGGAATTAGGATGAGATGGGAGTTGGAGGAGGGGGAGTAGGAGGATGTGGAGTGGGATTAGGAGGAGTAGGAGGAGGGGGAGTAGGAGGAGATGGGAGAAGGAGGAGGAGGAGGAGGAGGAGGGGGAGTAGGAGGAGGGGGAGTAGGAGGAGGGGGAGTTGGAGGAGGTAGAGTATGAGGAGGGGAGTAGGAGGATGGGGAGTAGGAGGAGGGGGAGTAGGAGGAGGGGGGAGAAGGAGGAGGTAGAGTAGGAGGAGGGGGAGCTGCTTTCGCTATTTATCCGAGAAATGTTGATGGCAATTGTAATGACCCTAGTAAGAGCTCTGTGTATTTAGCGACGAGGGTTATTAGCATTTAACGTCACTCATAATACGATAACGAGTGTCATTAGATTACAACTTCCAAATAAATGGTGTTTGTGTGACTAGGACCTGGGATGTGTATTGTGTAAAATAGTGTAAAGCTGCTATATTTCTGCTGATCAGTACGTTAGCAACCAATAATCAAACACAATAATTCAATGCCATGTGCTGCTGTGACATTAGTTTACATTAAAAGTACAGTAGCTTCTACTTAACAAGTACTTGTGTCTTGTTATCAAAAGTGTGCTTGCTATTTATTATATTTAATAATGAATATTCAATGGAATTAAACAAGATAGTATAATATATAGTCTGATAATAGAATAAAGAATCGTAAAACTGGCGTGTTCGAACGGACGAATTCTAAACTCATACCATATCTTACATAGACTCAAGTCTCAACACTGACAAACACAACCATTGCATGTTAACTTTTAATCTAGTGATGGACTGCTTGAAATGCTCATAAAAGTAAATTCCGTGCTTGATTAGTAGTGGTAGAGTAGTAGTTACTAGCTACTTGTTACTAGTTACTAGTTACTAGTTACTAGTTACTAGTTACTAGTTACTAGTTACTAGTTACTAGTTACTAGTTACTAGTTACTAGTTACTAGTTACTAGTTACTAGTTACTAGTGGTATTATCTTTACAGTGACCAGACGGAGGTTCTAACTACAAATCCTAGTCATACAGACCCCCCCCCCCCTCCACCCCAATTCACATCACCATTGACCACCAATATGTTCATCAAACGTCGCGGAGCTATTACTACTTGTTGAGCCTGAGAGCCACTTATTTACATTATATCTTCCTATATCGAGCTTACTTAGAAAGCTCAAGAAATCGAACGAATGCAGAATGGAGGTGTGCAAACAAAAAATCCGCTACCATGGTTAAACAAGAGATTTTACAAAGGAACAAACTACCCACTGGTATATATTTGTGATAAGTACTATTTACCACTACTAGTAGTAGTAGTAGTAGTATTTAAATTAAGCTGATCTGAGGTGATACTAATACTTTGATATCTTCTCCTTACAGATCGCTACCAAATATCTTAAGAATTGTAACAATGACATGGGTAACCATGGTAACAATGACGAGCAACGCCCATCTATCTCACGGTTATAGAACAAGCAGGCTAATTATTCAGTCCTAGCTAATATCTCATAAAGTATGTGTATATTTCTAGTGAATATCTCATAAAGTATGTGTATATTTCTAGTAAATATCTCATAAAGTATGTGTATATTTCTAGTGAATATCTCAGAATGTCCCTAGTCATTAATCAAGTTGTCTCAAAAATCTACAACAGCTGATACTTAATTAAATAAATAAAAGATCATTAATCAAATCGAGGATACGAGGTCGCCGGGAGGATAAACTGTCGGCATATTATGAGGTGTTGTGGAATAATTAAATGGAACAATTATGAGGTATTAATTAATATTATGAGGTGTTGGGTAAAACTGAGTGAATTTCAAAAAACTAAGACTAGAGGTGAAAAGTCATGTGTTAAACTAAACAACACAACCAGAACACTGTGAATATTAGACAACGCCCTGGGAGTGGGGGTGTAAAAATAGATAGAATGCCGCAAGATCGCGAGAGTGTATCTGCTGAGATGTTTTTAGTGGACCTACGTCTTCAATATGTGTTTTGATATATTAATACAATACGCAGACATTTGAATTGTTTAACTTTTAAATAAATTTCAAACAAAAGAAACTGCCCAGTAAAAGGAATGACGAAGAAAAGAAGCGTGTACTAAGAGTCTTAGGGGTCGTTCACATAATACGTAATCAGCCGAGGGGGGGTTTCAAATGCTTACGGTTGATTACGGGGGGGGGGGGGGGGTTTTGGTCGTTGATTACGTAATCAAAATTTTAATTTTTTACCGATTTTCGAAATACCGATTGGACAATTTTCGTTAATTATGTAATCAAAATTTTCTCAAGTCTCAGACAGCAATGAATAATGTGTATTTCTTGTATCTATACATCAAAGTTTAACTCAAAAATGGGGGGGGGGGGTGTCTAATCTTGATTACGTAATATAGGAGGGGGGTTGGGTCTTGATTACGGGGGGGGGGGGGTCAAACCTTGATTACGTAATATAGGGGGGGTTCGGTCTTGATAAAGGTTGATTACGGAGAGGGGGGTAAAAATTGCCGAAATATTGATTACGTAATATGTGAACGACCCCTTAGTAGGACTGAAGCGTGTACTAAGAGTCTGGGTAGGACTGACGTTCGTTGACATTTATCACTACCTTTCTAAAACAAAATATGTTTTGCAAACGAAATAGCTTTAGGTGGCCTTTTGGCGGCCTCTCTTTGGCCTTTTGATCGCTCAAATAATAACATTAACACCATTTTGCATAGCTACTTCAGTAGTGAGTGGTTATTACGACTTTAAGCCGTAGTAACCACTCACTACTGAAGTCTTTCTCACTTTTTTAGACTTCTTATTATTTTGATTCTCGTTTCAACATCCTGTTAGTTATTTGAGTTTTAGTGTCCACCATAAAATGTTCTTAGTTGTGGTAATGATGACAGATGACAGTGGTTGTCATGTCACTAGTGACAACATGCAGCACGTTTATATTTAAAATCTTTTAAAAAGTATTTTTGCGTAAAGCCGGTGGTTGATTCAGTAGTGAGTGGTTATAGTGGCACGTGTTGGAGGGTGACAGTGACACCAGCAGCATGTCCAGACACCACACGACTGCTCGACTGCAAACAACGTTCCTCACCGCTGATAACAAATAGACAATGCGACTATGCGAGACATTCAGAATTCAAACAACAAATATTTCTGTTTATGTCAAACTTGAAGTTGAAGCACAAAATGTATGTCGCCAATGTTGTTTGATGAAATTGGCTTTTGAGTACAATGCGAATCAACTGAAAGCAAGTCACAGCTGCACATTAAATGTGAAAACAAAACACTCAAAGTATAGTATTAGTAAGACTAAAAGCTGTTTTATAAACCCCTCCGGGTTAGAATAAGATTCTGATAATCCCGGCTCCCGCTAGATAGATTCTGATAATCCCGGCTCCCGCTGTTAGTTTTTTCCCGCTGAATAGATAACCCCGGCACAGCTTCTATAATCCCGCCCCGCTAATTTGGCTCAACAAGATTTGTTTTGTTTTGATATTCCATGAGAATTTCAACCGCGCACTGTCACGTGTTTTGATGACGTGTATCACGTGACTAACTACTACGACGCGCATTGGTAAAAAATGTCACGTGACCTATGGCTTAACGTAAGAACTGTAAATACACTTGATCTACGTATCGGTCTTACTGCAGGCGCTGGCAAAACTCCAGCACACT